ACAGACACTTCTCCAAAGAGGACATACAGAGGGCCATTAGACATATGAAAAGATGCTCAGCATCACTAATCATCAGAGAATGCACATTAAAACCACAATGAGATATCACTTCTTACCTGTCAGAATAGCTGTAATCAATAAATCAACAAACAAGTGCTGGCGAGGGTGTGGAGAAATGGGAACCATCATTCACTATTAGTGGGAATGCAGAATGGTGCAGCTACTATAAAAAGTGGTATGGAATTTCCAAAAAAAAAAAAAAAAAATGGAACTGCCTTATGACCCAGCAATTCCACCTCTGGGAAGATATCTGAAGAAACTTGAAATACTTATTTGAAAGAACATACACATTCCTATGTTCATTGCAGTGTTATTCACATTAGCTAAGATTTGGAAGTAGCCCAAGTGCCCATCAGTAGATAAAAAAGCTGTAGTGTATTTACACAACAAAATATTACTTGGTCAGAAAAGAGAATGAAATCTTACCCTTTGTAACAGCATGGATGGACCTGGAGAGTATCATGCTAAGTGAAATAAGCCAGTCAGAGAAAGATAAGTACCATATAATTTCATTTATATGTGGAATCTAATAACAAAATAAATAAACAAGCAAAATAGAAACAGACTCCTGGATACAGAGGACAGACTGACAGCTCTCAGAGGGGAGGGTGATTAGGGGCTGACTGAAAAAAGTGAAGGGATTAGGAAATTAAATGAATTTTTTTAATATAAAAAAGAATACTCTGCTGAACATAGTGTGTGGAACATTGGTAGCTTCTTTGAAATATTATTATAATGCCCTTTACTGAGGGTGGATGGTGGAAAATATTATTTTCAAGTGGAAAGAAAAAGCACTGTATGATTTAAAAGAAATATACTCCAGATGATTCTACTGCAGCCACAACTGAGAGTCACTGAAAATTTACTGCCTCTTCGATTCCTACCACTCCTTACCTAAAATCTCCCCCACAGAGATGGGTATTTTACCACCACAGCATAATAGAAATTTGTTTCTAACTTGTCTGTCAACAATGATTAAATTCCACTTGGATGTTTTAAAACTGCTAATATTTATTGAATACATGGGGTGTAGTAGGCCTGGTAATAAGCTCTTTGCTACAGTACTGCCTTTTGTTTTGTTTCATTTCTATGCTTTACATAATTTTCCCTCAAAGAGAGATCCTGTATTTTCTAGAATCAACATTGTTTTCTGGTTTGTGATTACTATATATTACATTTTATTTCATTTCTACTGGTTAGAACCCCAAGTCAGTAAGAGAGAGGGAGAGCAAGAAGGCAATAGGTGACCTTACAGATAAAAATATTCTGATCTGCTTAAACACCTTACACTTAGGTCTTGATTCTCTGTGAATCTTGGCCAAGATTCTCTGGAAATGCACAAATATTCAGTCATTCCAAGAGAAAAATTCCAAGAATACATATGACTCAATCTTAAGGCAGTTAATTTTCCTTTTGCTCTTGATTAGTACACTTTTTTCATTTCCGACAGAGAAATAAATGCCACCATTTTCCCCAAAAGTAACTTCCTTTGGAACGAATTCTAATGACAGTAACAACAATGATATGAATTTTTCAGGTAAAGGGCTTCTAGCTGAGGAAATTTAAAAGTGCATACAAGTATTCAATTATTTCTACCTGCATAACAGTTGTGGTTAACGCTCCCTCTCGGGCCCTCTGCTCCCTCTCCACGAGATGGCACTGTTCTGTGCTGCCAAACAAAGCGCCCCTCCCCCCGCCCCACCAATGGACAGTGTTTTCATAATGAATGTTAAAAATGTTTCTTACATCTTTGGTTCCTTAAATACCATCTGTTTCAAGTTGCATGAGATCTGAGAGCCACCAGGAGTTCTGTCTTTAACTTTGAGACTTGTGGTCCAGTGAGGTGTCTAATAAATGTCGACTTAATAAATGTCGACTCCATAGATAAATTGTAATGCTGCCAGGAACACTGAAGCTCAAACAGCTCTAAGAATTAAGCAAGGCAAGTGTCTTCACACCATCTTCCTTTGCCGTCTAAGACTCCCTCAATATTTCACTTTCTTTTCCCCACTTTTGTAAGAGTTTCACAAAAACTCAGTTCACCCTAACAAAGTATAATGGTCCATCTATCTCCTCACTCACCTATTTTCCTTCTTAAATGGGCAAAGAAGCTATCCAATCCTACCACAAATCACAGAATTTGTTATAACAAAAATGATTATGGGCGGCATCAATTAGTGACGTTGAGTCCATGTAAATTCTATGATATATGTTCCCAGGAAAAGGAATTCCTGGGCAGCTATTCAAGACTGATAAGCTCTCTAGGGGAAGGGAGCTTGCTGGGGAGAGGGCTGGGTGAGAAGGCACTACAGTGAGGTCAGAGCTCAACCAGGGCCAAGCCTGCTGACTGCACCCAGGTCTCTCTGCCTCTCTGTGCTCTAGTTTCCTCGCCCTCCAACGAGAACGTGGTGCTGGGTGATCGATCTCCAGGGGCCCTCCTGGCTGGGACACCATTGCATCTCTATGTCTTCCTTAGTATTATGGCTCATTGACAATCATGGAAATGCTAAAGGGCCAAGCAGCGAGCTCTACACAGAGGCATACCTGGTTTTATTGCTGTTCACTTTATTGCACTTCACAGATGTGTTTTTTACAAATGGAAGGCAAGGCTCTCCACCAGCAGAAATGTTACACCTCTCTTTATTGCAATACTCGAGTATCAAGGCCTTGCCTTCAACTGGTAAAACAAACAAACAAACAACACCCTCCCCCAAACTACCCCCCTCAACAACATAACATCTGTGAAGAGCAATAAAACAAAGAGTAATAAAACCTGGTATGAATGTAGGATGTAAACAAAGTTGATCCAACCTATTCACGTGCCTTGGAAATTAGCAAACATCACTGTGGCCAGGTTGACACCCACTAACCACCTGAGTCAATACAATGGAAAAAGACTGGCTCAGGCGGGTCCGAGTCCTTATGCTCCTAGACTTTCACCTGGTGAAAGCATTAGAAATTAACTTTGTGACACCAGAATGAGGAGCCACAATTCAGAAATCATAAAAACACTCCATAAATCAAAATCATTATCTGTTAAATAATTAACTAAATTCTGGGCCGAGCTTTGATTATTGAAATAATTTAGAGGGACTAATAAATACACAATCCACACCTGCTTATAGCCATAAAGGGAGCTTTAAAATCCATTTTCAAAGAGATAATTTATCTGTGCTTTATTCCCAAACAATAATACCCAAACACTGAAGCAAAACACACAATTATCTATTTACCTATTGGTGACCAACAACAGAACTTTAGTGCTTTCAAGATCCAGGCCATTTTTATCCTTATTTTAAACATCTAAACTAAGATTTCTGTTATCAGAAGGAGCAATCTGCTGCTAGGGTCTGCTTGAATTCCAAGCACCTGCTTCCTCTGGTCTGGAGGCAGATGGTAGCTCATAAAAATAAAAGCCAGGGAGAACATGCACAGAAAGATATTCCCTTTAAAACCCTTTAGGAGAAGGCTCTTTTTCCTAAAATCTAATACTGTAAATATACATGTTTATGTTACTAGCTTAGCTCAGAATTTGGGAACTGATGCAGAGACATTAAAAAAGTTTCCTTAGCCTGATTCATATGCATGTGCTCACATATTTCCATAGGATGGGAAAACGGCCTTTACTTTAACTTATTAGCACCTAAGGCAGGACAGTTTGTTCTTGGAACTCTCACAAGAATCCTGAACAGCAGCAGCTGCTGTTCTAACCTATAACCCAACCTCAACTTTACCAAGTCCTTTTATAGTAACCAAGACACTGCTTAACGGGTGTGAGTCAGCTGGAGCTGCTCTAGCAGAGGACCACAGGCTGGGTGGCTTAAACAACAGGAATTCATTTCTTGCAGTTCTGGAGTCTAGCAAGTCCAAGATCAAGGTGCTGGCTGATTTGGTCCCCCTATAAGTGTCCTCTTCCTGGCTTGCCCTCTCGCTGTGTCCTCACATGTACAGAGAGCGAGCTTCTGGTCTCTCTTCCTCTTCTCATAAGAACACAAATTCCCAAATGGGGAGCCCACAATTACCTCACAAAGGCTCCTCCTCTAAATAGCATCACATTATGGGGCTAAGGGCTTCAACATGTGAATCTTGGAGGGACATAACATTCTGCCCATAACAATGAGATGTCTTCCAATACATATTTATTGGCTTGAATAGATGAGCTAAGCTGTAATAAGTTGGCCTTAATATGCTTTTCCACAATAATTATGTAGGGTGGTGCTTCTCAAACTTTAGGTGGGTCAGAATCTCCTGCAGCTTGGTAAAAGAGATTTCTTGGCCTGACCCCTCGAGATTCTGATTTAGTAGGTCTAGGGAAGAACCTGAGAAACTGCATTTCTAACAAGTTCCCAGATGATGCTGATGTGTCCCTGTCTGAGAATTGCACTTTGAAAACCACTGATGTACAAGTTCCCTTTAGAATGTTGATATCAGTTATGAGTCTTTGGGCCTGTACTGGCTTCCCAGTAAATACCTATTTTAGGCTGAACACATTCGAAATGTGCCATTTGCTTATACTCAGGTGTTGTGGTTACATACAAAGATGCTTAACAAGCAGATGGAAGATCAGCTGAGGCAAGGCTGCTCCATCCTAGGGAGAGTCAATGGGTATGTCTGACTAGCTGACCTGTGGCTTCACAAGACACCAGGTTTTACAAAAATGTCTGCTGACCTCTTATCCTCACTTATTTTTATCTCAGAATGTAGATTTTGTCTTTCAAGTTGCTTGGTTCAGCTATATTACCTCTACAAATACACTGCAAAAGGTTGAACAGATAGCCAATTTTGGAAAAAGCACTATATGGAGCACTTGAGCAACAATTAGCATATCTGTTCAACTCCTTTGTCCTGTAATCACATGGTTACATTTTAAAGCAAGGCTCTCCCATGAAACAGGATAATTTTAAGATTTACTTCAAGTACCTTTTGGAATGTAAACATACCTTATTTAGCTTTACAAAATATTCCAGTCCAGCTTCCAAGGGATTTGTATCACAATTCATCTAAAAGGGAAGCAAACATTTTAAATCTTAGATGAGTGCCAATCATTTCAGTAACTTTCATGTATTTTTTGGAAAGAATATTTTTTAATTTTGAATATAAATTGTGAAAAAAATCATAGACCGGTCTTTAAAGTGATTTTTTAAATCTAAAATTCAAATGTACCCTTTTAGTTATTATTTAAATAGCAAACTAGAAACTAAAATTCACAGTTTATGTCCATGACTTTTATCGTAATAAATACCTGAGGAATACCACAACACAGTGTTCCTTCCAGAAACAAGATTTTCATATGTTTTTATGTAGTAATTTTGTGTAATTAGGTTTTGAAAAAGTTATGAAGTAATTTACTTATTTTACAATTAGCCAGGAGTCAGGATAAGCAAAGGAGAAAGCAGATGGTAGGAAAATGACTTCTACAGAGTTCAGAGACAGAGAAAAGAGAAAAATAGAGGTTGAATCTCAATCTTTCCAAATACAGGTGAGTTATTACAATATACTTCAAATCAGAACTAATGCCACTACTTGGGATTAGACTTGAAGTTAATGGTTTTTGTTTGTTTGTTTTGTTGCTATTGGTCTCTGTTGCTCCAAGAGAACTTGTCTAAACCCCATAAAGAGTAGCTAAATTTCTTTAAAAAGATAACACAACAATGGTATAAACCAGATGAGTAATATAAACTTGTTTCACATAATATAAAATTTGGCTTCATATTTTCTAATTAATTTGAGCAACTCTAAAATTATTTTGTATCTGTTCAAGGTTTCAGAATTTCTCTGAGAAAAAAATTAAAACAAAGCCCAGAAGATTGATTGCTGTAATAACACTAGAGGGCGTGCTGGCACTGCTGGGAAACCAAGGGACCTGGGAGGGGAAAAGCTCTAAAGAGGACCACTTCCTGAGGGTGCAGAAATGCCTAACTCCAAAGGTTGCTTCTCCTGCTTCATTCCTGGGGAGCAGGGTGGGGACAGAACTTTCCCTGTTTCCCTCCCTGCTGCAACCTTATCTGAAGGCTGGGAGTCCCTTCACAGAGCATTTCTCCTGCAAAATGACGGCCTGTCCCAGGGCCCTTGCTCTTACAGTGGTACCAGGAGGCTGTCCTCTCTACCTCTAAGTCCACTTACTTCTGCCTACAGTTTAAAGGCCCAAGGGGCCCTGTGTCAGCTTTCAAACTTACTCTGCCCTCCAGTTAAATTCGGGACTTTGTAGACTACCTAATGTCTATAGCTCTGTTGGAAAAAAGATTGTCTCTATTTATAGGAGAGCAAACAGAGGCTTTTGAGAGTTAAGGTCGCCTATGTGGTAGAGGATAAACTCAAACCCAAGAGACCCCCCTCTACCGTCCATTTTTCACCGCTATCACTCATCTCACCTCTCAAGCCTAAAACCTCAGTCTTCTAAGAAAAAACAAGGAATCTGAAAAAACTAAGGGGTCCAGAGATAGCCTGCCACATGGGAGCTAAAATAGGAGAACAGAGTTTGAGCCAGTCTGGCCACTTCATAGAACTTGGACCAAGTTGTTTACTGTTTCTGAGTATGATGTGGGCAGAATTCGGATAATGCAGATACCCTGACTCCCAACCCCTTGTCCCAGAATCACCAACAATCAGAGAGCTGAGAAGGTAAGTGAAATCATGCATATGAAACAGCGTGTAACGAGACAAATAGAAATCCTTCGCTCCCATTATTAATGGTAAAAGTAGGCTAGACCACACATCCTAGACCATCAACTGTGCTCCTCAGAAAGATGCCTTTTGTTGTTACAGAAAATGAGAATGGGAAAAATGACAGAGGAGGAAGAATTTGAAAGGTGGGGGGACAGGCTCCCTCAGAGCAGCCACAGCCCACACACAGCCAGAGATGGGCGTCCAGGGCTCTTGGCCAACAGGAGGGATTGGGCAGAATAACCATTATGTCATCATTCCACTACACTTTCAACTGAGCAATTGAAAAGAAAAACCTCTGCCCTGATTAAATAAAGTTACCTAGTAATAAATAATTTCTCATTTCTCTTACAGTCAGAACCAATGTAAAAGCAGTAAAAACTACCACTTATAAAAATAAAGAATGGAAAAAAACAAAACAAAACAAGCCCTCATACAAAAATCAGATGCAATAAACAAAATTTTAATGAAGATGCTAGCATTTCAAACCTCTGACCCCCAGGCTCGGAAAGCTTTCTCCAGTCTTAAGGCATTCATGGCATATGTTCCGAAATTGTCGATTCCCTCCTCCTGGCCTGCATCCATGATGATGCGATACAGTGCTACAGAATCTTCTCGTCTGTGGTACAGCTCCCAGCCCAGCTCACCTAAAATAAACCCACAAGTGCCACATCAGATAGGAACGGCGGCCACTAGGTTTAATATGCATTAGCTAAAAACCATAAATAAATGGAGAGATTTCACTTACGCAACATAGACACTGCTGAATTTTAAAAGACCAGTTCACTAAAAAAAAAGTTGCAACAAAACCCCCTGCAAAGAAACCTGCCACATCACAGATGTGTTAGTACCCAATCCTGTCTCTCACACAGGGGGCGCTATTCTAGGACCTTCTTCACATGACATGGAGAGACTTTAATGTAGCAGCTAATCTTGACCCCAGATCTCAGCTTTATAATGTTGAGTAATTAGCATGGCACAGTTTATCCAGCTGCCTCTTAATCACAAGGTTTTAAAAAATAAACAATTATCATTTATTTAAATGGTCCTCATTGTGGTCTTCATAGTCTCTAATGCCCCATACTCCGCACCCTATCTTCCCCACCTGGTCATTCATTTCACCATTACAGCTGTAGGTAAAAATGGAGGAAATGAAACCCAAACCAGTCTGCTTACTTTTTAATCTGCTTGTGCCTTGTTCTGGTCACCATCTGGTGAAGGTTAGCAGGGAGGGTGTGGGAGAAAGGTACATGGACTCCGGAGAAGGGCGGAGGGCTTTACACTGTGTGTTCCCCTGGTCCCCCAGTGTCCAGGGCTGGTGGAAACATGTTTTTCCAGGACAGCACCAGAGCATGGGCAGCAGGTAGCTGAACAAGTGCCTGGGCACCAAGTGCTCCTGGGAAGGGACGAGGAGGTCTGGAGGAAGTTAGAGGCGAACCCCCAGCTCAACAGGGAGTTAAAGAGCATTCATTCAACTGTCTTGAACACCCACTATGTGCAGGGTTAGGTGCTATATGAAGACTTCCCTAATGCACTTTTAGTCTAGAAAGAAAGCTAGAGAGCAGGAATGCTGTAAGAGAGGTGCCTGATATATTCAAGATGGGAGATGGCCTATGGGAGGTGATCTTAAATGTTCCCAGGTGGAGTCAGCTGGCCCTCCCTATATCCCAGCAGCTGTCTCCCCTTCTCTTACCTTCCCTTACAAACGGTAGGCAGCTATAGCATAATTGAAAATCTGTGGAATGACTTTCTCAGACTAACAAGTGAATAGACCAAATTGTCATAAAAGTTGGGCAGGAGAAAACTTCCTCCAAAATTACACTATGAAAGATGGGGGGGTGGGTTGGTGGAGAGGTGGGGGAAGTGCATTCTTAGTAGCTTTGTTTATACTTTAGAGACTCTAGGTTATTTTCTGATTCTTACCAGTGTAAGATATTCTAATAGCAGTGACGGGAATATTGGAAAGCTTTAAAGATTTGGTTTGAAGAAACTTGAAAACGTCATCACTAAGATCTTCAGAGGTCAGCTTCTGAAGGACCTTTCTTGCGTGCGGTCCTGCAACTCCGAGAACTCCAAGCTCATCAGTTATATTTTTAATTTCAACATTATATCCACCTTTGGCTGCCTCTTCTTCAATCCATCTGCATTTGAGTCATAAGTATTGTGTTAAATTTTGCTTAAATAATGCATGTTATAACATATTATTTCCCCAAAGATGTACTCTGTGTTTAGAATTACCAGAAAGTCCCCAGAATGTTGTTTCATATAATCACCTAATTTTCAAATTTGAAGAAACTGAGTCCCAGAGATGTTAGGTGACTCTTTATAAAGCACCCCCTTCTATAAATTGGGGATAATTTTTCACAGCATAGGAGGATCCATCAATTTAAATGAGCTCTGCCACACAATTATTTTAAATAGTGACAGCCCTATTGCATTTAAAATAATGACTCAATCTTCAAAAATTAATTTAAACCCAAATTTTCTCTAATACCTGTACACAGAAGGCATATCCGTGCTGCTAAAAGTCAACAATGTGCCTGCTAGCAGATACAGAATTGCTTTGACAATCACAAGGAAAATATAAAAACTCTAAAGAATGGTTTAAATTTCTGTCTTGATGCATCATTGGGACCCAGTTATAGAATTCGTTGATTATTTATTGAGCAGTCCCTAGAACTACACAAGTCTATCATAAAATAATCATCAAAGCTAAGCTACTAAAATGGTTCCCGATACAACTTGCATTGGAGGATACAATTTGCGTAATTTTACAACTATAGTGAGAATCTACCTGTCAGAGTCAAGACTTCTCCTGCCCAACTTTTATGGCAATTCTGTCCATTCACTCCTAGCCTGACATTTATTAAACTATAATATTCCAAATATTTTTGGAATACTAGAGTAAAGACTACAGATTTTACAATAGATTAAATAGGAGACTAAAGATCAATGTGAAGGACTGACTTGGCAGGTCAACCATTTGGATCCGGCTGTGGGCCAGAGAGCATGAAGCTTGAATAGGGGAGAAGGTTACTGACTGTGAGCATCACAGGCAAAAAAACTGGCTTCAGCACATTCTGTAACCCAAACTTCAGTTTCCTCAACTGAAAACAGGAATAGTATATTCTATGCAAATATATATCTATTAAGAGAATTAATTAAGATAATATGTAAAAAGAATTCTGACACATTGATGATGCCTAATAAATGGGAGTTGATATTATTAGAATCAGTACACCTTGTAGAAGGATTACCTTTTGGAGGTAGGCAGGGACAGGGTCCCCCACTTTAAATAATTTCCTATAAAGACATGAAGTTTATTTGAAACAATAAGGTTTAAGAATTAAAGTTATACTTTCAACTACTGGTAACAGAAAAACTCAGCTTAAGATTGAGTCAATGTTTAATCCATATAAAAATCTCTTACTAGGTGTGTGCTCACCTGAGATCGTGAAGTTCTGATCCAGAGCCAGTTATTAACAGAAATTCCCCAGGAGACTGGTGAGAAACAGTCAACTCAGCGTACACTCGACCTTTTGGGGTTAACATGTGACTTATGTTTGTAAAACCCACCTACACGAAAGAATTTAAAATGATTTCAGGATGAAACAAAAATCTTATGTATCCTTTTAAAACAACATGGATACAAAAATGTGGGTGTCAACAATGAAAAACATCTGAATCTTATCACTTATACCAATTGTATGAATCATTTGTAAACCTAAACCCAAGATAAATTTTGAAGTTCTCAGTTTACATTACAATTATTTGTCATAAAAATTGTACCTCAGTCAATGTTTTAACACCCACAGACACAATTAGGCAGAGTCATAGGGTCCTTGGATTCATTCAACAAAATTTAAATTTAAAAATTAGCTAGAATACTCTTGACCATTGAAGAGTTCTAGTGTTCATACAGAAATCTTTAGGTGGACTAAAATAACACATTGGGGTTTTGTTTTGTTTTTGTTTTTTTAATGAGAGGAGAGTTCAGTGGGCCATGATCCTGGACCTTGTACCATTCTAAGGTTATGTACCTTTGGAATGACATTTGCGAAGAGATGGTCCAACAGTCTCATAGAATCTTGGCCTTTGATGTTAAACTTGCCAAACGGCGACAGGTCAATCACCCCTACTCTTTGCATAACCTGTTGATACTCAGAGCCCACAGGCTCAAACCAGTTTGTGCGGCGAAAACTTGGCCTGAAACACAGTTTGTGATAAAACAACTGTCATTCGTTTTCAGAAAATTATAGAATAAGGATATTTTAATAAACCCCATTCATCTCGTAAATCCCATTTGGAAAAAGAATACAACATAAAATTCTGGTCTGTGAATAAAATGTATATGTTGGAATCTGATTTTTTAAAGTTACTCATATGTCCCTTTGATCCATTTCATAGTGAATAAAGTGTTCGTTAACTAGAAAATAAGGTAGCAGTCATGGGCTCCCAGACCTGGAAGAGAGCTCGGAAGCCAACCAGTCCTGGGGTTTTGAACCTGACTGCATAGGAGAGTCCCCGAAGGAGCATTTACAAGGAGCAATTTTTTGGATCCAATTAAATCAGAATATGTGGGGGTGGAGCTGTGTCATCCAGTGCTTCTCAGACATTAATGCAAATACGAATCACTTGCACTTGTTAAAATACAGACTCTGATGCAACAGGTCTGGGGTCGGGCCCCGATTCTGCATTTTAACAGGCTCCACACCTGGGCTAAGCAAGGATCTGATCCAACATCTTCATTTTTTTTTTTAGAAAAAAGACACAAAGTGACTCCCAAGGACTTTGCATTATTGAATTACAGAGCTGGACCTGGAACAAAGGTCTCCTGATTCATTGTGCAGGATCCTTCCTACTTTACGGTGTGGACTTTCTAATGTGGTATTTTAACTTCAGAGTAGGCTGCTAAGTCTGCAAAATGAGTTTTCAGTAGTTTAATTATTAAAATAGCAGAAGAAACAGGCCAGATCCAAACAGTACAAGGTGAAGAATAGATCTGGCATTTATATGAGTCATTTAAGAAAAACCAAGCCAGTATTTTGCCCCCAGATAATTGAGATTGGCTGCCTGGGGAGCCCCAATTCATTAATCAATGACTGGCCTTCTGCTGTATTTTGCCATTTAGATCTGGTCTTAAAGTAGACATCAAAACCTGTTTAAATAAGCAAAATGACAAGTTAAAAAATAACTTAATTTCTAGATTTGCTATGTGTTTTCTTTTGTCTTATAAACTCTCATAAGGAAAAATATATAATCACTATTAAGTATAATCAGGGCATGTAATCCAAGTGAAACAGTGGCAACAACATTAGAGGAAATCATAGAAGTGTTCTAGTGACATTCTTTATGTTTTAGCTTAACCTCAAGGGCTAAGTAAATGATACTCTCCCCTAATTTTTTGATAGTGCATTAATTTGCATGACTCAGTGTGTACACAGTAGGAAATCATTGCTTTGAGCTACTCCTTGATAAATAGAAGACCTACGTATCCATTGTGTTTTCATACTACGTGATTCAACCAGGCATCCTAAGCCAGAAAAAAGCTTTAGGAGCCAAGTGAAGGCATGTGGGGATCTGGATGGGGTGGGAATTTTCCTCTGAGCTCCCGGAAAATGCCAAGCAGGGGCTTCACCAGGGCTGGCTGTAGGACTCTTGAAGCCAAATGGGCCCTAGATGTAGGCCAATGTCAGGAGGGATAGATGAATGCTTCCACTGTCAGAAAATAAATTTTGTGGGAATGGGGTGGAGTGACAGGGTCAGTGGGGAAAAATGGCACTGGTGTCTCTCTGATGTCCCTCCAAGCTACCTGCGAAATTGCAGTGGGCAGTGAGAGTCACAGGCAGTTAAGTCATTTACTTACCTGTACCCGGTGTCCTGGCCTGGCTTATAAAACCAGTGTGGCTGTTCCCAGCCTGCATGGAACCCCATGGAACATTTAGACTCCAGGGTTTTATAAAGCCCACTGACTCGCTGAGTTGGTCTGCCGGCAAACCGTTCTTCTTTAGGATACCCAACTGAAAAAGGAAAATGAGTACTTTACATAGAGTATAACCAAAGCCATAAAATACTTTGAAGGGATTCACAAAATGGAAAACAGTACTTAGAATCCAGAAGCATATAAATGTAGTAAATTCATGTTCAAAATATCCTAAAAGCTATCATTTTTATTTTGATCATCAAAAAGTAAAGTAAAAATAAATTCAAAACTGGAAATCCGAGACTTCCGGCCAAGATGGAGGCATAGGTGGAAACACTGTGCCTCCTCACACACACAAGTTTAAAGACAACAAAGTTTTAGTAACAAAAATGCAACCAAAACACAGAAAATTGAACTCTGCAGAAGTCCGACAACAACGAACTTGTTCAGCCAAACCAGTAAGAGGGGCGGAGCCAGTGGCTGGTGGAGCAGGGTTGCATAGGAAAAGTCAGCCAGAACGACCCAGGCATGCAGGCAGTGTTTGGTGCATCCCAGGTGTGGGGTAGCAACAGGTAGACCCAGTGAGAGTGCAAGGCAGCAGGCTGACTGTGGTCACACATTCGTGTACAGATAAACCAAGTGAAGGAGTGAGCAGTGAGACAGACTGTGCAGGCCCCAGCAGCTTATGGGAAGCAGCAGAGAAAACCGCTATTGCCCCTCTCTGACCCCGCCCCCACATACAGCGTCACAAACCAGCAACCTGGGGGGCCCCACCCTGGTGAACACCTAAGGCCCTGCCCCTCATATGTAACAGGCATGAACAGATCAAAACATGATGGCTCAAGAACAACTCAAAGCCCCAGAGCCAATAATTCTAAGTGATCAAGAGATAGCCAACCTTTCAGATGCACAGTTCAAAACACTGGTGATCAGGATGCTCACAGAACTGGTTGATTTTAGTCACAAATTAGAGGAACATATGAAGGCTAAACTAATTGAAATGAAGGGAAATGCACAGGAAACCAATAGTGATGGAAAGGAAACTGGGACTCAAATCAAGGGAGTGGACCAGAAGGAAGGAAAAAATGCCAAACAGAAAAGAATGAAGAAACAAGAATTAAAAAAAATGAGGAGAGACTTAGGAACCTCCAGGACATCTTTAAACGTTCCAACATCTGAATTCTAGGGGTACCAGGAAGTAAAGAGGAACAGCCACAAGTAGAAAACTTATCTGAACAAATAATACAGGAGAACTTCCCCAATCTGACAAAGGTAATAGACTTCCAGGAAATCCAGGAAGCTCAGAGAGTCCCAAAGAAGTTGGACCCAAGAAGAAACACACTAAGGCACATCATCATTACATTATCCAAGATTAAAATGAAGGAGAGAATCCTAGAAGCAGCAAGAGATAAGGGGATAGTCACCTACAAAGGAGTTCCCATCAGACTGTCAGCTGATTTCTCAAAAGAGACCTTACAGGCAAGAAGGGGCTGGAAAGAAGTATTCCAAGTCATGAAATCCAAAGACCTACATCCAAGATTGCTCTACCCAGCAAAGCTTTCATTTAGAATGCAAGGGCAGATAAAGTGCTTCTCAGATAAGATCAAGTTGATGGAGTTCATCATCACCAAGCCCTTATTATATGAAATGTTAAAGGGACTTATCTAGGAAAAAGGAGATAAAAAATATAAACAGTGAAAGGACAGCAAACTCACAGTTATTAACAACCACACCTAAAACAAAAGCAAAGTAAGAGGACAGCTAGATGAGGAGTGGAACCATAGAAATGAAGATCTCATGGAGGGTTAGCAACAGGGGAGTGGGAGGAGGAGAAGGGGGGAGAAGGTACAGAGAATATGTAGCATAGATGGTAGGTAGAAAATAGACAGGGGGGAGAGGAAGAATAGTATGGGAAATATAGAATCTAAAGAACTTGTGACACATGGACATAATCTAAAGGGGGAATGGGGCAGGGTGGAGGGAAATGAAGGGGGGAAATAGGACAACTTTAATGGCATAATCAATAAAATATATTTAAAAAAATAAAAAATATTATTGGTTGAAAAAAAACCCTGAAATCACTGGTACACTCCACATATTAAATATGTACATCAATATAGATTCCTTGTTGTACCTTAGAGGCACAAGGCTTTTTAGAGTGCCTAGCCACTCCCACCAAAGTGCACAGAATAAAAAGCATCTGAAGTCGGAGGTGCTGTAAGGCAACCTGTACACACTCTGTGGACAAGAGTAGTTTGCACTTTACCAATATTGTTATATCCGTACGACTCTCGTGCTTTGGCCTCCGTGTACTGAGTGGTTGTCCATTTGCCGTAGCGATTGGGGTCCAGTTCTATCAGATCAAAAGGGGGCTCTCCATGCAGGATCCAGTCACTGAGGTACTTCCCTACCCCACCAGCGTGAATTATGCCATATCTTTAAAATACAGAGATAAATACACTGTTACTAACACATGTTATTTTCAAACAAAAGAACATGTCCAAATATTTTACAGGGCTTTAAAATTGGGGTGTTCTCTGCTATCCAGAGCACGTAGTCTATGTAATCTTTATGCCATATTTTTTCCTAAAAAAAAGAAAAAACATATTTAGGCATCCAGATTAAATGTGCCTGACTTTATAACTAGTTTGTTTACAAAGTTTCAAGACCTGCATGCTGGCAAAGTAGCCTACCACACTTACTTACCTAGTAACTATGCTCACTTTAGGAAAACAGGGCAGAGGAAGCAAGAGGCAGATATAGCTGGTACTTTATTGATATACCTTTTGTTCTGTGATGATCCTGATAGGAAATTTGCAGGAGAAATATGCACACTGTGGAGTGGTATGCTCATTTCTTCTCTGAATGAGTTCAGTTCTGTGCAGGGATCCTGGGCCATCATCTTAGTTGGAAGCATTCAGACAAGAGGCACTCACCCCAGTACTTGTGGGGAGAAGGTGAAAAGGAACACTGGTCCCTGTACTTTATAACTAAAGGGTCACTTAGTGTAGAAGATGGGCTTGTTTTCTATTTCCATATGAAGATGCTTTAAAACCAAGAACATGACTGCGGCAAATACAGGCGGAGGAATCATAATTTAATGTTAGCTATGTGATGTTCCCCCCACTCACTCCTGTCTAGTGAAGGCCTTTGCCATGGGTTTATCTGTGGTTTAAGAGAAGCTTTTGAGGAACTGGATGAGCATAAAGTAATGGGAGGATGACCAAGAAAAGCAGCAACGTGAGCAAGACCTCTAAATGCAAGAAATCCCAGGCTCTATGTGCTGGGGAGGACCTTAACAGAGATTGGGAATATTAACTAACTTTTCCCACCCAAGATGTCAGTTTTGCTTTTTTATAAAAATAAATATCTAAGTTTTTTATAAGGCTATTTCTCAAGCAGAATAAAAAAGCAGCAATTGATACTTCCTTTGATATGTAAAAGAGAAACACAGGTCATCCAAATTATACACAAACAATCTCACTAAGTTTCAAGAAATCAAGAAAAATCATTAAATATATACTTAAAATAATTATGAAATAGACACTTAAAATGTGTATTAACTTACCCAGGCCCAATGTATGAGATACAACAGTTGCCATTTTTGAGAGCTAGAGATACTGTGTACAAGACTAGAAACTGTATAAAGTTTTACTGGCTTATTGAAAGTGCTTACCATGACCTAGGCATTGTTTCCATCTGACATATACCATCTGATTATATCTTTACCAACTCTATTTTACTATTGAGAAAACCAACCTGCACAGAGGGGTTAAATAAGGGCACACAGCAATAAAGAACAGATTCCGTATGCAAATTCAATCATCTGACCCCAGTGTACACTCCCTGTTATTGGGCTTCACTTCTTCAATGGCTCTAAATCTCTTGTCAGACAAGACACACAGGACAGGAGTCACGTCCTTGGCAGACTCCTTGGACACAGCCAGGGTTGTACTTCGGTTTCCTCTGGTCTCATCGCTGGGCTATCATAGTCTTTCCCTTTCAACAACGCCCATGTGCAGACAAATGGAACAGAGTGCTATTATTTGGGGATAATCCTGTATCTAATCTAGTTTCTTTTTTTAAAACTGAATCTTATACAAACTTCCACCTTCTAACCACTAACAATTTACACATAAAATGCCACACAACTGAGTGTTAGGAAAGGTCTATTGAGAACCCCTGAGTTAGTAGCTAAAAGTATCAACCATAGAATTAAGGAGATCAGGGTGTGACTCTCGTTCTGCCACTACGAACTGTGTGACCTTGGGCAAGTTGTGCAACCACCCCGAGCTTTAGTCTCTTCATTTTCTTTATGCTGTTGATGAAGACTTCATTCACATGGCACTTAAAAGCACACAGTAGGCAAGAAATGCATGGTGGCAGTTGGGCCCTTGTGTAACCAACAGGAGAGGATGGCTGTTGGTAAGATTTTCATAAGGTAGTAATGTGGGAATTGGAGATGGAAGGGAACTTGATGAGGAGAGCTAGGTTCTTCTATCTCCAGCGTTAACTGCAGAACTTGCTTCTTCCCAAAGGCCCAGCTGCTGTGTTTTTTTTTTTGAGTGTTTGTGTCTGCTTTTCATGACAACTCTGTTAAACTATCAAATATTCCATCTTAAAGCACTTTCCCCTCTTAAGATTTGCTGCTTATAGTCTGTTCTAAGTGAACAAACTAGATTCAATTTGATACAATTCATTCACCATTTTGGGGGGCACTGTGTTAGTCACCTGGAAGCAGAATTACTAGATTATGACAAGACAAAAGCAAAACAGCTTTGTCCGAGGGTCGTCTGTGAGTAAGGTACTTGTATGCAGACGGTTTACAAATATCTATCCTATGGACTGGTTGCAGCAGAATAACAAACAACATAAAAACAAAGATTTCTGGGTGTCTCTCCAGACTGCCAAACCAGAATCTATAGGAGTGGGGTCCAGGAACCTGTTTGCTTGTTAATTTTCCAATTTAACACATCTTTCATGGATTCTAGGGACAAACAGCAGACATTGCACAGACAACATGTAAAGGAGAATGAAACACAGGGAAGTGACTAACCATAAGTTGAGAGTCTATTCTGAAACACTCTCAAGGGGTGATTCTGGTGCTCAGCCAGGGATGGGCACCCTTGGCCTTCAGAGCCATGGGATGGGTCACTGGTACAAGCTGGGAGGGGCAGCCAAGGTGACCCTTCCCTCATATAACAGAAGAAACAGCTACTGTAAATAATGCTGTGGTTTTGCCGTGTATAATGTGCACCCACGTTTTTGGCCCAAATTTTCAGAAAATAATCTTCTGCTTTAATTTTTAAAATTCAATTATTTATTTATTTATATTAGATAACTCGATTTTTTGTATTATAAAGGAATTTTAGCATTTATTTTTTAATACATTATGGCACAAAAAAATTTATGTAACAAATAATTACAAAACACAAGAACAGATACAAGGTATTCCAGGTACTACCCATGTATAAATAACATCTTTGTTTTTCCCTGAAAAATTTGGAGAAAATAAGTGTGCATTATACACAGCAAAATACGGTATGCCTTTACAAATAAGTGTCTCCAAAATGTTCAGGTAGATACCCAGAAGAAGGATTGATAGGTTATACGGGGGTTCTATCCTTAATTTTGGGGGACTGCAGAAGAGAACTATGATTTCCCTAATATATGGAGTATATAACAATAGGCAACAGACAGACAAACAAAACCTCATCAGTACAGATAACAGCATGGTGATTAGCAGAAGGGAAGCAGGTTGAGGAGGATTTAGAGGGTAAACGGGGTCAAATATATGGTGATGGGAAAAGACTAGACTTCAGGTGGTAAGCACACACCAGACCATACGATGTCATATTATAGAGCTGTATACTGAAATTTATATAATGTTATCAACCAACGTCACTCCAATAAATTTAATTAAAAAAAAGAAAAAAATACACATTCTGGAGTTCATCAAAATTTAAAACTTTTTTGTTTCAATAGACACTATTGAGAAAGTGAAAGAACCCACAGAATGGGAGAAAAAACTGCAAATCTGATGAGGGTCTTATATCTACAATGTATTTTTAAAAACTCCTACAACTTAATGATAAAAAGAAAAGTAAATAACCTAATTTTTAAAATGGGCAAAAGGTACAAATAGACATTTCTGCAAAGAAGGTATACAAATAACGTACAGGAGAAGCACCTCCATGCACAGGCCCACACTCGGACTCTGCAGGGTTACCCGGCCCTCCGTTACATTGCCCCTTCCAGCCCCGATCCCCCTCTGGCCTCTTCTCTCCGGATGTCCCACAGACCTAAACTTCACACTTCAAACCCAGCCTGGCAGAAATGACACGCGCTATTTTCCCAGTTCTTTCTCCCCATGGTCTTTAGCAACCAACCAAGGGTCTGGTTAGAAAGGTTGCCGTCATTAGCTATTTTTGTCTCTCCTTCAGGACCTAATGCAATCAATCACCAAGTCTAACTAATTTTCTCTCCTGTCTCAGTCCTCACTGCTGCTTCCTGTGTTCAGACCCCAGCCTCTCTCCTGTTGGCAGGACGGCACCCTGACCAGCCTTGCATCTCTGGTCAGAGCTCACGGCTGCCTTGTTCTCAGCCGTAGCCCAGATGCAGCACTAACTGGAAGTCTTTACATAGTAGTTGAACAGATGGTCAAATAAAATAGGGGGGGGAAATAGAATGTTAAAAGTTGTGGTATGACAATAAATGGGGTTTAATATTTAATATTAATGCCAATATTAATATTTACCAAATTAATGGCACCAATATTAGAAATGAAACATCAAATGGATGATGGACATAAATAGTAAGCAAAGTGGGAAATCATAAACAAAAACAAATCATGTTGGCCAAACATGAATTATGATAAAAATAGTATCAGGTATGTTATACATTAGAATTTTTGAATTATCTTTGTTACATCTTATTATAAAAACACCCTTGTAAAACTGGAGCCAAGTGACCTATCTAACATATACAACATGAAATGAGACATAAATAATGGATATGGCAGGAAACGCACAAAGAGAAATTTTCAGGAAATCATTGCCCTTCTGTGTGCAAATCTTTAGAAACTTATACAAGTGATTAAACCATTATATAGTAGGCATTTTAAAAGTAAAAATTTTATTAGTCCCCCCTTTTATTTGTTCATGAGAGGGAAAACTCTCTGCCCCTTTCCCTTTTTCCATTTTTGGCCTGAGATTCTGGGATAAGACTTTTCTAAAATACATGACTCTAAAATAAATGTTGAATGACATGGAGATACTCACCCAAAGCCTATAGCTACCCAGTAGTTTCTGACCCCCTGATGGGGACCCACCATCGGCAGAATGTCAGGAGAATAGGTGATAGGCCCGTTGACAATGTTGATGAGGTCAGCCTTTTTCAAGACTGGAACCATTTCCATGGCAGCCTCGACGTGCTCCATGATTCGGTCTAGATCAGACTCAAAGAGCTCCTTTCCAAACCCTGAAAGGACACGATGTCATGACTGATCGGGATGCCACAGCTGCAGCGCCAAGTACCCAAAAGTGATTTGAATCCCTGAATCAGCTTACACCTACAGATGGCCTGTTAGGAAGGTGCTTCCTCTTTTCTTTTCAGGTCTAAACTATATTATTGGGAACAATAATATTATTTCTTGAAACAATAAAATCATGACAATTAACCTTTTCAATTAATAGAAAATTTAAATTTATACACGTTAACATTTTTCAGTATTTAATCCAATCACACTTTTAAAATAACAAATGACAGTTGTTTGGTTTGATAAGAGAGATCTTTTGTCCTTCAAATAACCATAAAATCTGCTTCATCCTCTGAGGTGAGGGTTATTGAGAGTTTACCAGGTCATGTCAGGGCTCTAGAGCTAATGGGAAACTACTCTAGGATCCAAGACGGTGAACCAGTGGACCCCTTTCTACTCTCAGCAGGGAAGGGATGGCATAGCAGCCCTTCCCCTGAGCCCACTCCCAGACATATCCGAGGGCCAGAATTCTGGGCCTGGGAGTCAGTCAGAGCCTGGGAGTACAGTCATCTCCTCCATCCTGAAAGGCACTGTGATTGAGGGCAGAGGGTCACACAGGACCTTCTTAAAGAACGTGTCCGCCAATAATACTGATGATTCTTACACACAGCAGCCAGCAGCTTCTTATTACTCCTCCCAGGGACTGTGTGGTGGTGGGTCAGGGACATGGAGACCTGCAGATCACCAGGACTGGACCAGGACATGTGGCACTTGGGACCAGCGCACATCTGGCTCTCCCTCCAACTGCAATTACTTAAATATTTGTCTAACATTTACTTGGGGAAGAGGCCATCAGCATGGGGCAGAGCAAAGAGGAGGCTCCCAGTGGCGGATCAGCCTTCCCTCTGGGGTCAGGAGCCATCCTCCTTGGGGAGGATAAAATGTACACGTCTGATAAGCACATACTTCCATTTGCTAAACTTACCTGGAGGGACTCCGTTGGTGACCCACGAACTCTGAACTTTCATTTTCTCCTGACTTTCATAGGGACCAAACAAGAGCCCATCCCTTTCCTGTCGGAGGTAGTAAGACCCTTCCAGGTCGCGGAGCACAGGGAGCTCTCGTTTCAAAGCTTTTACTTCAGGGATAGTCGACGTGACAACATATTGATGCTGAACCGGAATGAGAGGATGTTCCAGTCCAACCATTTTACCTACTTCACGAGCCCAAAATCCTTAAACAAAAAATCATGTTCAAATGTCACCACATATATAAACACACCACATCTGATATTGATAACAGCAATTTATATCAGCATAAAATTGTACACTTCAATACTTATGGAAAAGTCTAAAGATTGTTGGAATGACTTTTCGTTATTGCAAAATCAAATAAGGGAAAAGAAGACAAGACAATATTGCCTAGAGTTTTGAAGATAATTCTATAATCTAAGGGAATTCTATTCATGGAAAAGTATTTTGCCCATAAGCAAAGGTGGGCAGAAAAAAACCCCCAAAATATGAAGGAAAAAGTAATTCAAATATGTAAAGATACCAATGTAGATAAAAAAGATAGCGATGGACTGACCCTACTTGCAGAGCAGGGATGATGAGGCATGGAAGAGCCACCCCCACCCTGCCCCCGCCTCATCAATGTGATCAACATAACGCATGACAGTCGCGAACAAAGCCCTGAAAGTCAGCCCCCTCTGTTCCTCAGGCCCTCCTTAATGCCTAAAATTCCACCAATACAGAACTATGCGGTTAACTTAAATTTGAAAATGCATATACTTGGGGAGAGAGAGCACATTAAGTTTTCTCTGTTATTTTAAAAGTTTAATTTGAATATGTTTGTAAGATCCTTTCTTGCAAAGGGCACAAAGGCACCCGGAGTCCAGGCAGGAGGGAAGAGGGGCCACAGCCAAGGGGAGAGGGCTCCCAAACAGTGGGGGCTCCCACATCCAATGTTTCTCACTTCACAGTGCCCATGGGCACTGTCTTATTGGTGGGAACGAATGCGACCTTTTTCCTTTGCAAAAGATTGAACCAGACGATTTGTGGATGAAAGAACCCTTGATTCTATCCCAGGTGACTCTTCAGAAAGATGTGGAGCTCAAGTTCAGAGAGAGAAACAGACCTATCCAAGGTCACATGGGGACACCCTAGAAACATCAAATGCTATTGCTTTCTTTAAAAAAAAATTTTATTGTTGTTCGAGTACAGTTGTCTTCATTTTCCCCCCACCCCAGCCATCCCCACCTCCTGACCTCGATCGCACCCCCATTTGGCTTTGTCCTCGTGTCCTTTATACATGTTCCTGGAAACCCTTCCCCCTTCCCCCCCATTATTCCCTCCTGCCTCCCCTCTGGTCGCTGTCAGTTTGTTCTTAATTTCAGTGTCTCTGGTTCTATTTTGCTTGCTTGTTTGTTTTGTTGATTAGGTTCCCCTTACAGGTGAGATCATATGTTCTTACTGCTTTTCTTGCTGCAGGAAGACTGTATTTTAAATCTAACTCTTGGTATTTTGTAATCTAAAATGATAATAATAATTATTTCTCATGGTCATGGTGTTGCTCACCTACCAATGGATTATTTGGGGGTGAGGGGATTCTATGTGCATGTTTGTTTCAGAATTTTGAGTAATCATTCAAATGATTAGGGAATCTTATTTATTTCCTTAGGAGTTTTACTCTCTGAATTTTTAACCATTTCTTTTTTCCCCATTTTTCATTGCACTGTAATTTAACCCCTCCTCTACTTGGTGGCAACTTAATCAACAGAATTGGCATGGTTATGCCCAAGAGCACGACCCCTTTAAATATGTTAAAATCTCCTGTGTTCCTCAGTGATGTCTAAAAGCTTTTTTCATAAAAGCCTCACACATCTCTGTAGGCTTTATATATATTCTCATCTATCATTTTTTTTTGTAGTTGTTGTGAACATCAGATTTCCTTCCTTAGCTGTTCTGCTATGAGACTCGCTTGCAGAGGGAAGGGACAGTGTGGGCTGCCTGGAGAGCCCGGGACATCAGCAATGAGTGAGTCTTTCTTGTGTAATCATAAGCAACGGGGGGGTGTCTTAGGACTTTCAAGTCACCAATTTCTGCAGGGAGGTAGCTAACACTTACTAGGCCACTAATATATGCATATGCCAAGCATTATGCTAGTGTTTTAAATAAGAGTATAATATGTATTTGAAGTAGATAGTATTTTCTTCTATTTACAGATGAAAAAAATCAGAAGTTCAAGGCCACAGAGGCACTAGAATTTTGGACTCCAAAGCCACTATTTTCTACCATATCCCAGAAGGAGCTATATAGTAGGAAGTGAGGCGACTTGCTGTTGTTCACAAGGAAATATTCATTCTCTATCGCTAATTATATTCTATTTAAATGTACTTTATTAGGTGGCTCAAACTCATTACAACCACTATTCTTATAAAATGAAGGCAGTATACATTTTTACTAAATGGTTCAAAAGAAATTAAGTCATTATCCAAATGATTTCTAAATTCTATGTGTCATTTTTTTCATGCTTTCACTATCGTTTTCCCCAAATTATCTCCTTTCAGCATTCCTGTAAATGCAGCGGGCATGTTCTCAAATTCTCCAGTGACGTATTGATTGTACTGAATTTTCCCCTCTGTGACCCACTTCAGCAAGTCTTTCAGAGCCTTCTGGCAGACCTCCCCTTGCCAGCAGCTGACGATGAACCCTTCCATGCGGAGGTGCTGATAGATAATAACCTCTAGGCGTGGGCCTGGGGGAAAGCGGATGAGTAAGATTATATGTAGAGATGGCCCCGCATATAGCAATTCTTCCAAATTTCTCTATCTGGGGGACAAAATGTTTGAAAATCTTCCATTTACATTATCAAAATAACAATCATGACCATCGGGAGAAGCTTTTTTCAGTTTCTTCCAAAGACTCTACTGTCTTGTAGTTAGTTAAAGGCAATGTAAAATCCAAGCTTCGTAAGGTAGGCAAGCTTATCATCAGACTCTGCTGCTCTGACAACTTTGCAGACCTTGAGCTTAACTGTCTGCCCCCCAACAGAGCCACGGCCCCTGCTGTTCATTCACCAGAACTGTCTCTCCACCCCTGCTCCACAGTATTCGAGCAGCCAGAGTAGGCTGTTGGGCCTGGCCTGCCAGATGTTCCCAACCTCGAAGACAGAGGTGATGTGTCTGGCCTCCCCTCAGGCAGCGTCTCCAGTCGTTTTCCATCAGAAATGGAGTGTGTTGTCCAGCCTGAAGGAGCCGAAACAATAGTTCCTGTTGGGAAGGATGAATTTTGACTTCCTACAACTCCAGCCACTTGCTCCCCCATCATCGTATCACCCTCCTTCAGTCTTTTGGCCGCCACTCTCACGTAAGCATCCACAGAGAGGAACAAAGCTTCCAGCAGAACCTCTTCATTTTTTAGGGGCAGGAGTTCAACTGTCTTATCTCAAAGTTATTTAGGGTGGCCTTCAAAGTGCTTCTTCAAGGTCCAACTCTTAGCACGAACCATCCTGAAGCTCATGAGTCCACAGGTTGCACTACTAAGAGAAGGCGGTTAAGACTGCATGGCTGAGAGCCCAGAGCCAGGGTTTCTGTACGGTCCCAGAGAGGGTGGGGCTTCCTCCAGGGAAGAGCTGGGGGGGGAATTTTTTACCATTTCTATTTCCGCCTTTTTCCCCCGCAGAATCTCATGAGGAGTTCTGAGGTCTCTGCCATTATGAAGTTCAGAGGTAGACACAGAATCATAATCATGAGTCGGCTGGGAACCCAGATTATATATTCTTATGCGCCGAAGTTTATTTCTACTTGTCCATCTGAATGAACATCACTCTGGTCCTTGTTATGTTTCCGCCTAATGGCTAAGTTGGTCACACTTGTATAATAGCCCCAGAAATGGGTGTCCATTTGCAAACCAAAAATCTTACCTGTGGGCATTAGAGCTCTTCATTGGTCTTTCAATAATTTAGAGACTTAACTTACATGTACTGGTGGGAAGATGTGAATTACTAATTCAGGATTTTGTAGGAAAAATAAAGTAAAGCCACATATTCTAGTTATATGTACTAGAGGAGCTTTATAATATAAAAAGCCAAAATATTTGGCCTAGTAATTCAAAGTACTACAATATTCTCAATATATTTGTTTCAATTAAAAACATAAAATGAATAAAATAAATTCTGTCCTATTCAAAGGTATTTATAAATTTCTGAGCCTGTTTGCTTATTAATATACTTCATCATTAAAATAAACTGGAAACATATGCTAAAGCACCATATAACTGTATTACTTGAACCCCCCTGGAATATCCAATGCAGCTTTACCCTATGTGGTGGTATTTGCTGGCATTTTCTCCGCTATATGTCCGTCAAGCGAACCAAGGCCAAGCCAGGACTACACTTAGGCCCCGGCTAGACCACCCACCCACTGTGTGCTAAGGGAATAGAGACAAATGTAGAGGAATCATCTAAAAAATATACCATTATCACTTGAAAAACACTGAAGAGAAGAATCCATAAAATGGTGGTTGTAAATGGCTTCCAATGACAACCAAATCATTGATTACTAGAAATAGAGTTAAAATAAAGGGTTTGTGGACAAGTTTATTGGTACTAGGGTTTACACAGTGGCAATGATGGTCACACAGTGACATTTACTGATACAGAGTATCAGGCAAAATTAAGCAACTCTTTTGGCTGAACACTGGCTTCACATTGGCATGATCTGATCACATTTCTGATTTACGACATCAGGAAAATTCTTAAGTAAAGTTTACAGAGTTACCTCAGGCTTAATGGGTCCATTGGAAATGAGGTCAAGAGAAACATTCATCACTATACAAAGAAAACACTTGCATCATCACTAACAGTTTGTGCCCCGTTCCCCTGAGCTACCCTCACAGGAGGGATAAGATGAAGGCGGAATGAAGCAGTTTTAAAAGCAAAACTAAAGGCAAGTTAGCCTATTGTGCACCAAGAGATCAGGGGTGTCAGAAACTGCTCTTTGGCTCTGCCTTCTTAAGAACGAGGTTACTTCATTCTGTCTCCTATAGGAACACGAGTATAGTAGTGTCTCTCAAAACATATTTTGCAGACTACTTGGTGCGGACAACACAGTGCCTGGAATGCTTGTTTAAAATACAGCTTTCCACCAAGACCACCTAAATTAGAATATATCTGAAATCTGGGAAACTTCCCACAGTGATTCCTATGCACACTCACTTGAGAACCAAGCTTTTGGGGAAGTCTCTTTACCAGCAGAATGGGTGCCAGTTGACTACAGAGTAAGTAAAAGGATTTGGGTAATCTTAAGGCTGGTACCAAGTAGCGATGATACCCTAATGCTAGTGTGTCCCAGACCAGGAGTACGGGGTACAGACTTGCAAGGAAATAATAATAATTATTATTAATATACTGAATTTTTTAGTGCTTTCTGTTTGGTAAACCCTGTTTTGAGTACTTTACATCATTAGCTCATTTACTGATCATAGTAACTTTCTTTTTTTTTAATTTTTATTTTTTTTAATTTTATTTAGTTATTTTTCAAGTACAGTTTTTTGTCTATTTTTCCCATCCCAACCTCCCCCGCCCCTTGCTACTGAGATGGACACTATTATCTCCATTTCACAACGAGAGATCTGCCCAGACCCCATGGTTGGCAATACTTTGTCTCTGGGCAAGAAAGCGCCACTGCCGTGGACGATGCTGGAGATACAACAGCCCACGAACACATTTTTCCTTCTGGAGTGTCCTTCTCACAGATATCCTAAAGACTCGATAGCCTTGTTATGGCTCCATGTACAGAAACTCCTAGCAGGTTACTGTACAATTGAGGAGATAACAGTGGGCCTTACATCTGACGTTTTGATTATATTCCCAGGTCTACATCCTGTTTACTTTAATTAAATTGCAGAGCCCTCCTGAGGGCCTCACTTGAATATACGAGATATCCTGGTCGCACTGAGCAACCCTGGAAAACTTCCATCAGACATACATGCTCAAACAGTGTTGCTTTTATTCCTGAAAAGCTTCTTGCTCTTACTTCGTGAAACTGATCTTTGTTAGCTTAACCTAGAAGGGGCATATCTAAACCTTTGCCCCCAATTATTAAGGCTTACCACTTGAGGAGTTTTCATACTTTAAATAAGGTATTTATTTTTAAAAAACAGACTCACAAACAATAAAATACACCACTCACACCTTCCATGGACTACTAATATGTAATCAGTTAAATTTTTTTCCAGTAACTTTGCCTAGTGGAGGAGAAGACATGGATAGGAAAAGAAAAAATGTTTGGGCCAGAGATATGACCTGAATGAGATAAAGAATTAATGGAATATACAGGTGATGTATTATAAAACTGTGCACATGAAACTTTATATAGAGTTATTAACTAATGTTACCCCAATAAATTTAATTTAAAAAGTTTCGATAGCATAGTTCTCAAAACAACTGTCAACAAAGAGTTGCCTGGAGTTACCCAAGAGGATGGGAGTGGGAGCAGATGGCTGGGTAAGAGGCTCAGGGACAAAGACTAACGGGGACTGCCCTGGAGAACTGCTTTCCTGGTGCCGGCCTGGAAAAACAAGTCCCAGGAATTCGGTTGGTGGTGTGAGCCCATGTTTACCTCTCCACACAGGGCTGCACTGTCAGCCTAACTCCTGGGATTTGTTTTCCCAGGCCAGGACCAGAAGGGCTGTTCTCTAGGACCCCTGGCCATTGCCCAATCAGCCCCAATCAGACCAGAAGATTTCACAGCTGCGCAGAATACGTGCTTCATCTGGTAACTGATGTCCTGGGTTTAGGTCAGATCTCTTTGGAAAGTATGCCTTTTCCAGTGATTCTTTATTCCTCACAGTTTGAGGTTTAGGAGAAAAAATATTACAATGGATTACATGAACAAAATTTTATCCATTTTAGGAAAATAATTGAGATATGCGTTAAGTTAAGGTCTTCTGTGTTACTTCTCAAAACATCCATCAGGAGTGTGAGGGTCCCTGAAACACTGTATTGGGAAGAACGGTGGGGTTTACCCAGGCCCGTCTGAAACGAGTGCAGCGACCACTTAGCAATGCCTGCCGTGGGCCCTGACCTGGAAGGCATGGTATGTTTGCTCAGTCTTTGCTACCACTCTGAAAACAGTAAATGTTTTGGGGGACTGAATTCATGAGACTATAAAGAATGTGCCAAGATTACAAGGAATCCTTGCTACTTCGAAAAAAAGGATGAAGGATTTCGTTGCCCTAGATATTCTAGCAGAGTTTAAACCAGTGGCCCAAGTATGGTGAGGGGCAGGGAGTGTCACATGGGAAACTGCAGGGGTGGGGACAAGAGAAGTTAAAAACGAAAGCAGCGTATTGTGCCTTTGCTTTTGTTTTTAGGCAACTCATTTTATATAGCTGTGTTTTGAATTTCAAATGATATCAAAGAAGGCATGAGATGTTTATGCTCTTCAAATGAGGGACATTAAAGAGAAAGATTCAGAAATACCCATTTTAATTCTTCAATATAAAATACATGATTTTTTCCCTAGAACCACTAAAAGTAATTTATTAAAAAAATACATCAATCAAAGTTACAGTTTAGAGGAAAGAATCTTAAGGGTCCATGTTTCTATAGTCCATGTGGCATATTATTGATCTAATATGTAATGAAAATTGTTTTCACTGCATAATTTAAACACTGACTCAAGGAGCAGGCCACAAGAAAATAATTTATTTCCTCCTGCTTATTTTAGATTTTACATTAACCTTTATAAATTATAGGTAAATATTAAGTATTAGCCCAATTTAGACTGCATATACATTTTCACTTGCATAGAAATTTATTTTTGCATGTGTGGCAGTTGAAATAACCTGTCAGAAAGCCTTTTAACTCAAGAATCAAAAGATCTAGGTCCAAATCCTGGCTTTGACGTGTCACTTTGCCAAGTGGCATGGCCTCTTTTTTTTTTTTTTACCTTGGTTCTCATAAATAGAAAATGAGTGGGTTGTTAGATTATCTTGAACACTCCTTTTGACTTCACTCTATGTGGAGTCTAAATTGTAGCAGAACAACCTAAGAAAAAATTATGAAGTATGTTTAAAAATGTCCTGAGAGGAAAATGACTAAAAGCTTTTTGACTAGTGTCAAATAATCACAAATAGATGAGAGAGAACACAAATGATCAAATCATCACCCCAAAAAGCAAACTGAGGACAAAGAAGATGCTCATGAATTTGAACACTAGAGTTCAGTTATTAATAAAGAGTGAACCTAAGGGAGGAAAAAGAAACATAATTTGGCAAAACATGATCTGGACCAAAATAAAGTGGGGCATGGAGAAGAACACCAAGTTTCCATAGATTACCAAGTCCAAGGACAGTAGTATCTCTACCAAGAGCACAATGATGGAGGGAGAGCTTTGTAGCTTAGAAACAGACAAAATGTTCACCTTGGAAGCAATACAGTGTTTTATAATAATGTTCACAGTATAAAACATCACTTTATGTCATCTTATTTCTCTGCCTCTTTAAAAAATCCTCACTAATTAAAAAAAAAAGATATGAGACTTACCTGCAGCATTCACAATTCTGTTTGCTCTCATCGATCCCTGCGGTGTTTCAACATCCCATGTTCCATCTGACCTGGCTCTCAGAGAAGTCACTGGCGCAGGGTATTTTAAAAGGGCGCCATATTTCCTGGCCCCAGCAGCCAGGGCCATAGTTAGAGAGTAAGGATCAATATGACCATCTCCAGGATTATACAGTCCAGCTAAAATCTAAACCAATCATAAAAAATATTCAAATGAGTATGTATTCATTTTTCAGTGGAACTATATCCTGCCAGCAAATGTGTAATAAAACTGGATTTGAAAAATTCATCGGGGTGTCAGATTGATCAGTCTGCATTTTTCTATGTGTCAAAATTCAGACTTGGGCAGGACCTGCACTGAAAGTTAAGTAGACAGGCTACCTGAGGGACCCTCGCAATTGTCTCCAATATCCATTCTCCCCTCTCCCATCTAGCATAGAAATGGAATGTTTATTTAGATACATGTCCACTAAAAGCAAAGAGTTTCCAATAGTTGGCAAGTACTAGCTCCAGCTGACAGATTAAAACTATTACTAAATTCTGGTCAATGAAATGTAAATGAAAGTGTCATGTGGCAGCTTCCACAAACCATTCATTATAAAAAGACAACTGGCATATGCCCCTGTCCCTTTCTTCTTTGGCCCTTCTTCCTCCATCATGCTGTGGGATGCAGGCGTAATGGCTGGCGCTCTAGCTGCTATCTTAGAATAAGAACATAAGAGTCACACCCCAGGAATGAGAGAGCAACGATATGGAAGAAGATTGGGTCCTTGAAGTCTCATAGAAAAGAATTACTATTCAAGTCTGGACTGTCTAAGTAAAAGAGAAATAAACTTCTATCTTGTTTAAGCATTATTTTGGTTTCTGACATTTGCAGTCAAATCTAACACTAACTGATCAATTATTTATACCTAATTAATAAATACCCCTAGTAAATTCTTGTGTTAAATATATACCTGATGTCAGAAAGATATAAACTTAACTCAATAATTCAACAACCAATTCTTGAATAGCTATTTTGTGGTAGGGCTTGAAGCTAGGCACTGTAGGGGGAAAAAGAATAAAATTCAGATGAAATGGGAGGAACACCATGAAGTGGTATTTTTAGGTCTTAACGATTCAACAAAAATCTCTGGGACACCAAATATGAGCAAGGAGGTTTTGCCGACCTTTTTGTCTGCATCTATTGAGGTAATCATCTGTTTTTGTATTTAATTTATTAATATAGTACTACAATGATTGATTTTCAGATGTTAAACCAACCCTGCATTCCTGCAATAAATTCCACTTGATCATGTTGCATAAACCTTTTTATATGTTGCTGAATTCAGTTTGCTAATATTTTGTTGAGAATTTTTGCATCAATATACATAAGAAATACCGATCTTTCTTTTTTTGTGATGTCTTTGTCTGGATTTGGTATCACAGCAATACTGGCCTCATAGATGAACTGGGAAGGGTTCACTTCTATTTTTTAAAGAGTGTATGAAGAATTGGTATTAATTCTTCTATGCATGCCCCATAGAATTCACCAATAAAGCCATCTGGGCTTTTCTTTGTGGGAAGCCTTTGATTACTAACCCTCTTGTTGTAGGCTTAGTACAAGAGGCTTTTCACTCCAGTGGAATTCATATTACTGTAGCCTTCCAAATGGTACATTGGTGTTTTATAACAACTACATCATTATAGTGGATAGTGGTCCTATATCTATTTAATTTGACACCCTCCTCAAGAGCCAGAGAATATTCTTTCCACATGGCTACATTGCCTAAGATCCTTAAGAAAAGTCTGTGATGGTGAGAACTTCCAGCAAAATATTCCAGGACTGACATATAAACAGATAAAAGCATATCCTCACTAGTAGCAGTGATGGAATGTCAGTGCGGACAGTGCAATGCCACACCAGGCTGCCATCACACTGGCATCACACAGAACCACAGGCAAGGGAGTGCCAGTAGCCTGCAAAGACTCACAAGGGCAAACAGCGTCAGCATCTATATCAATAATACAAATCTTCGGGTGTCAGAGATACTGCAGTCATCACCAGGGACAATCATAAGCCTCTGCTTCCCTGAACAGCCCTACTCAGTACCCTTAGGTAGTGTGTAGAAAGGAGTCAGAAAGCCTGGGTTCAAATCTCTGCCCAGCTCTTTTTATGTGGGTGAGCTTAGACCCATTATGACCATCTAAGCTACAGTTTCCTGTTTATTTACTATATACCTTATATTATTACTGTGAAGATTAAATGAGATTATGCGTGTTGAGGGCTTAGCATAGTATCTGGTACATAAATATGTGCTGTAGTGTCCTGTAGTATAGTAAGTCATTGTTATTATTATGCAAATTAGATTATCTCCCAGCAAAAAAAGACACAATTCTCAAATGGGTTCTTTCAGTCAAATGTGGTTAAAACAAGATAAAATACCTGGCATGTACTTGTCAGGGAAGTATAGCTATTAGCTAGGTAATATTTGTGTAGTAAAATAGTATAGCACTTCCACACTGGATTTTATAAAAATCACAATCTTTTAATACATATATTTAACAATGCAGTGTTTCTATGCACTATCATACCAGGTTACTGTTTTCTTTGTAGTTCTCAAACAGAAGGTTTATGTATGGAAATCCCTAGACCTGGGGGACACAGTCATAGAAAGGTATTGAAAATGTTTCCTCAGTTCTCATAGGTGGAAAACTAATAAAATTTTTTCATTATCTTTTCATATTTCACTTAGTGTACATAGTAGCCCACCTTGTAATTTACCCCAACTCCAGCATTCATCATCTGATTTTGCCATTCAAAATGTGTTCACATAGTTTTTCCATTTTTAATTAATATTTTTCTAATCTTCATTCAAGGTGACAAATACTGAAAATGCCCTTAAGACAAGTACCTTACTCATGTTGAGTAAAGGGAACATCTCTTGAATTTTCTCAGGTTCAATAATATACTGTTCCGTTGCATGCCAGCGGGTTCGAGTCATTTGATATTTAAATTCATCCACCCTTACAGGAGTTGTAGCAAGCCTGATACTACCTGGCTGATGGAATCCCACCACCTGTTAAAATAATGCCAATAAACCACATAAATAAATCATTATTTAACACTCAATCATGATTCTTCTCTAGCACAATGAAAATGCAGGTGTACAAGAAAAGAGATTTATTGAACCAAGTAGTAAAAGAGATAACTACATAAACATATCTGCATCTTACAAGTCATCATTCATCAACTGTTTACTAATTGCCTGCCTGCTCTGTGTCAGATACTATGCTGAGTTGCAGAGATGCTTCTATGAACAAGAGAGGCAAAGACCCTTCTTGGAAGACCCTTCTTGGAAGGAGCTTACAGTCTATAGGAGAAGGCAGATAGCTAGTTGCACAATATAATAACATGAGATAGTGTTAATGTACAGAGTGAATAAAAATTATGTGGAAAAGAGAAAGACAAAGGATTTGAAGAGAGAATATGAAGAATCAGAATGTTGCAGTGATAAGACTAAATGTGGACTGAAGTAAATATCCATTTGACCCCTTCAACTGAAGGAGTCAATTGAACTCAATATCCAACTGAACTCCTTCAGTTGGCCAAGCACTCAGCTGAGCCCTGGGTTATAGAGATAAAAGATACAATCTTAGCCCTCAGGCTGCTCATAGTCTGCAGGGAAGACCAATCAGTAAAGCAACCACCACTATAGAGAGATGTATGTTATAAGAGGGGTATGCACAAATATTCTTAGAACCAAGTGATACGTCCTCAGCTTGGCCTAACTGGTGGGTGAGCAAAGTCAAAGTTAGCTTCTCAAAGGGATGACCCCCAGAAGAAGTAGAAGGTGAATGTTGAAATGAGAGGCAGGGGTTGTGGCTGAAGGAATGGTGTTTTAGGCAGAGAGCCCACCCAGCGCATTCCAGAACTATAAGTAATTAAGAGCTGTAGCATCTGAACGTAACAAAGAGAAAATGTGGGGAAAGCAGGCAGGGCTCTCTGAGGAAGGCCCTGCTCCTTTGTCCTTTGTCCTATAGGGGAGCCATTTAATGGTTTTCGGCAAGGAAAATAGCATGAAAAATGTAAATAGACTTCAGTCTGAGCCTATGGATATTCTATGCCTGCCACTTTATTCTGAGAATCCTAATAACTATGAGAAGTGATAAAAATAAAAGCAAGGGGTTTTTATTGAATTACTTTTTAAAGCTGCATGACAATGTGCTACCCAATGTTGTCATATCCTTTGCAATCCAGTTGCTGAAAGGCCCTAATTTCTTAGATTCTAGATGTAGTAACTGACTGAAGACACTTTTGAAAGCTGCCGCTTTTTCTTCTTCCTTCATTAAATAAATGGGTAAGAGTGGGTAATCACATGTGTAATACATGTCAAGAAACTGAAGTGATTGTAGAGCAAACTTCGGAGGTTCTCACCTTAAACTTTCACCAGATTTCTCTACCACATTAAACATTTCACATGCCCTTAACATCATTATACACAGCTCTACGTGATGATATCAAAATTCTTCAGAGAGCTTACATATTTCTAAGAAACTGACCTAAAAGACAATTTCAAGTTCAACAGATTTACCTGTCCAGTTTCTTCTTCCAGTTTCTCATAAAGTTTGATGCTATCATAGTGTATTTTCTTCAAGTTTATTCCAGGATGAAAGTACGTTGTTAAACCTGCCTTAAAAATGAGAAGGAAAGGAAATATTGGGAAACACATTAACATTCTGAAAATGTTGATAGTTTCACCGGTAAGCAGGATTTTACTGCTGCAGAAACGGAGCAGCACCAGCCAGGCCCTGGGGGTTGAGAACACATGAGCAGCCGGCTGTGCACAATTTCAGCAGGGCCTGAGGCTTGTAACACAGTAGTAAGAAGAGCCTGAACCATTTAAGTAATGTCAGAGCCAGCCAATGAACAAATACAGTAAGTCCCTAAAAGTTATTAGGAAAGGTTGTTTGAGACTAAGAAATGGGATGATTTGGTAGGAAGTTTAGGAACTTATGGTACGAGGAAGAATGTGGGGGGATGGCATACAACGTGGACTCAAACCAGCAAATCGTGTGTTCCCTTACGGAGAAGGGCTACAGACTAGCAAAGAGTTTTCCTTGACCCGGTCCCCACTATCCCTGGAATGGAGCAGCCCTCCAGTTCCCTTTGAAATTTCTGAAATTCAAGAATCGGAAAATTCGGCCCTGGCTGGCGTAGCTCAGTGGATTGAGCGCGGGCCTGCGAACCAGAGTATCGTGGTTCGATTCCCAGTCAGGGCACATGCCTGGGTTGCAGGCCAGTTCCCGGCAAGGGACGCATGAGAGGCAACCACACATTGATATTTCTCTCCCACTCTTTCTCCTTCCCTTCCCCTCTCTCGAAAAATAAATAAAGAAAATATTTTAAAAAAAAAAAAAAAAAATAAAAAAAAAAAGAATCGGAAAATTCCTGGAAATTATAGTCTGGTGAATTGGTGAACAGACCTTTGTCATGCTCTACCTGTTTGATGAGCACATAGATTGTACACGAAAAATATCTGCTGAATAAATACTGCATAATTACTCTCAGGAAAAATCATCTAAATATTAGCATGCCCAAATGCCTTTTATCTACCGCGCTGCAATGTAGCACCCAGCCAAAGAGTTCTATGCAATTACATGAAGCAGGTTCTCTCAGTTTAGTGTCTGGGGCCCCAGATTGCAGCAATGTATCCTGGAAAGTTCATCAGAATACAATCTGTTTAAAATAACATCTGTTTAGAACTTATTTATCAGGCTCTTCTATGGTATGGCAGACATTTGGTTCTTCTGCACTCAAAAACACCCCACTTAAAAGTTTATCAAACATTCTTTATGGGACGATCCTTGGGCTTCTTTCGAGTACTTGTTAAAGCAATTAAACATATGCACAGCTACTGGTTTGAGAAAAATTCTGGCTCAACTTAGAAGTCCTCTTATAGCACAGCCCTGTTTCAATGGAACTAAAAATTGGGCTTCTTAACTTTCAGTTAAATACTCTACTCTCCTGTAAATGTTTGGTATCTGTCGTGCATATGAACTTTTCTAGTTCAATGATAGAGAATCTTTGACCTTCACGTATCTACCAGAGAGGTCAACTTCATCTCCCACATAGTGCCCATCATATGAGAAAACTTGATATTCACGAGCACTGACCTAGACTTCTGGTCACCATTCACTCCCTGAGATATTCTAATTTTAACCTAGGTTAAGCCTGACCTCCAGAAAGCTATGTACTATCTATACTATATCGGCTCTCTTCTTCCCCATCCCGGAAAGCTATTTTCAAAGGAGTTAATGATCTTTCATCTGAGTCACAAGAGTTACTTTTTATTAAACTGTTACTTAAAAAAAATTAGCCCAATATCTTTTGTTTAGAGAACAACTTCTTCTAGGAATTTCTGGTCGAGGAAAAGTTAGCTCTACCTCAATGAGCTAACAAACCCTCAGGATTTTGGATTTGTGACTCCATTTTGAATACTCACATTGCAACCTGTGCCTTCCTCCCTGAGCACCGATTCCCACACTCCCAGACACCCTGAACTTGAGCACATGTTATACTTCAGTGAGACTGCCCTTTTTCTTTGTATACTACCCCTTTAGCTGGCTCCCCAACCTTCCACATTCTCTTATCCACAGCAAATATTTCTGTGTTAAAAATTCCTGATACATGGGATTTTTTTCACGTTACTTCTCAGAGGTAGGCCCCCTTGACTTGCAAAAATTCATAGAATCAGCTTCCTAAGGGAACCCTCTTTCTTTTCCTTCATTCCTTGGGGGCAAATCACCTGGATTCTGATGCTTGACTCCATCTTGAGCTTGCACGGCATGGATCTCATTTTCCAAACCGTCGCATAGCGCCTTCTTCACTAACCAGAAGAATTCCTATTCCACTCACTCTGATACCTTTTTACTTAAGGGAAACTGTTATGCATGGTCAACATTTAACAAGAAACTGACATGTTAAAAATTTTGTCCACTTTTCTTTTTTTTTTTTTTAATATTTTATTTATTTATCTTTAGAGGGAAAGGGAAGGAGAAGAGAGAGAGAAACATCAATGTATGGTTGCCTTTTGTGCGTCCCCTGCTGGGAACTGGCCTGCAGGGAACCGGCCTGCAACCCAGGAATGTGCCCTGACTGGGAATCGAACCGCGATTATCTGGTTCGCAGGCCCATGCTCAATCCACTGAGCTACACCAGCCAGGGCTTCCACTTTTCTTAAAAAAACTTAGGTTAAGGGTATGTTGCTTTAAAAAATTTCTTGGGATATATAAGAAGTAAAATTGCAGGGAATTCAGTAATCTATTCTAAAATGTAGGCCACATCAAATCAATCAAATATAAATGAGCAAATAAGTAATTAAAATATTAAAGAGTACATCCTCCTTAACAAGGCAAAAGTGTTAAAAAGGTATAACCCCTTCCTCTTAGGATACTTCCACTTGCCTAAATCTCCTTCTGCTTACATGTCCCCTGAGTGAATGAGGGGACAGCCTCGGGCCCCTCATTCACTCACTTCTGCCTTATCTCTGCTCTTTCAAGTAGTCTCCTGATGCTTCTTTCTCCGTCATTCTTTCCTTCATTCATTCCTTTACCCAGATTTCCTCTTCTTCATGGCACTGACTACTCTCAAACAGGCTTTGTGTATTTTCTGTCTGCCCTGCCAGAATATGGCGTCAAGAAGGCAGGGACTTCGTTTGGTTTACTCCTGTGTCCTCACCTACAACAGTGCTGGCCTGACATAATACAGGCTCTTTCAACAATGTGTTTGTTGAAAGAGTGACCGAATGTCCAGCAAGGAGAAGTTACAGGAGAGCTATAGGAGAAATGCAGGCTTTCTTTACTATAATAGCAAAAAGCCTACACAGAAGGTCTAGTTCAGGAAGAGAAGAGGAGCCAGGAGTGTTGGTGGCCTCAGGGACCCCTCTGTCCAGACAGGAGGCAGCAAGCTGAGGGGGAACTAGTGAAACAAAAGCAGATGTGCCTGTGAAGGTTCTGAAATGACATTCAGGAGGACTAGGTGCCTGGGCCTCTCTCCCAGACTGGAAGGGGGAGAGGGAGAGAGTTGGAAGAAGAGGAAAGAGGGAAGAGAAGATGGCCTTGCTATGATTTTTCTAGGCACCTCCATCCAACCATGTGGCTGGGTTCTGTGGCCAGTAGGACTTGGGGCCACCTGGGTTTAAATCTGAGCTTTACTCTCCTCCACACTCAACTAGAGGCAGACAGCCCTTTTAGTGCTCAACCTTCACCCCGTACCTTGAGCAGGTTCTGGATGTCCAAAGGGCCCTAAAAGCAGGGTTTTCTCTTGTCTCAGCAGAAGAAAGTAATGATGAAAAGGGAAGTTAATGACAGGAAGCTGAACTGACATTGCCTAACTCATCCTCCAAAAGAACTCTGCACAACAGTCATAAAAACTCTCTCCCATACTTAGCTGACTTCAGAAACGATTGGTTTAGCAGCATAAAAGCAGCATCAATCACCTCATTTCCCTGAGCAGTTTTCTGTGTTGGCCCAGTTATTGCAGAGCACGGGAACAATTATGCATGTACCACTAAGTACATGAGACGGACTTGGCTGTGTGTTTTAACACAGAAGTGTGTCACATGCTCTCAGTTCTCATAGTTAAGTCTTCATGTAGCCCACCTTGTGTCTTACACACAAAATTAAAACCATTAATAAATAAATAGGACCACTAAAGTCAGGTGAGGGAAATATAGGTGAAGGTCTCAGCCATATTCAGGATCATTCCACCACTGTTCTTCAATACAAAGGGTACTGTTTACTAAACACCTACTATGTGTTTAATAACTTCACACACAGTCACTCAATCTTCATCACAACCTTAGCAGGTAGGTATGATCATCACTTTCATTTTATACACTAGGAAATGGAAACTTAAGTAACCTGCCCTAAGTCACATGGGTAGAAAGATGTGAATGCAGAAGCCATGTGTTCAAGATAAAGACATCGTCAGTGTTGATCACGGCCTGGAAGTATGCCAACCAAAATGGAACTTCACTTTCTAACACTGTTGAAAGGGAACTCACTCTAAAGAGCCAGCAGCGGGGCACTGTGAATGGGAAGGAAACTGATGGCACTAGTGCACGATTCAATGTATGTGACAGTTCGAGGTGCTTTTCTTACTGCATGCCACGTGGATCCGGCAGTGAGCTCTGATTTCTCCAGCAGGACCACATCTCTCATCCCCGCTTTAGCCAGGTGATACGCCAGACTCACACCAATGCAACCACCTCCGATAATCACTGTCTCTGCTCTCTCTTTCCATCTTGTTTCCGCAGATGAGGCTGGGTTGTCCTTTCTGGAAGACATTTTTTTTTAATGGTAGCTGTACTAAGCTGTGGTAGCTATAGCTTTTTAAAAGGCATTTAAAGCCTAACTCAGGCAACCTGGTCGAGGGAGGAAGGAGGAGGCATTTGAGCCTCACTCCATATAATTCTGGTCCATTGTAGATAACTAATATAGCTAAAGGACTGAACAGGTGACTTCTTTTACATTTTTCCAGAGAATCTAGAGAATAATTTTCTCAGTGTACTTAAAGAATGCACTTGCAATCATTTTATTCCACCAAAAACCATAATCAGGATGTCTAGTTCCCTAAATCTTGGATCACCTCCTTCCACTATTTTCCAGGTGAAAGAGCCAGATGGAGTAAAACACTCTTCCTTACTTAACTTGCTCTCACCGTGCACATGCTTCGCTAATTATAATTACTGCTCAGTGATTTAACATACTTATTTGCATGACTGTCTTCCTAGCTTGATTGTGAGCTTCTCCAAGACATAGTGTAAAAAGTGATGAGTAGTGAGCCAAAGAACAACATATATACATACGCCAAGGTTTGCAGACATACAGACTATCTCTGGGTCGACACAAAAGTCACTATAACAGGTGCCCAGGAAGGGGGTTGGAGTTGGAGAGACTTCCCTGGGAACTTTTCTCCCCTTTGATACAGTATCACTTTTGTGCAACCGTGCAAGAAAAAAAAAGAGAAGAAGAAGAAAGAAGAAAAGAATCCAAACGACCCGAACTCCCGAGTCTGCCTTAGCTCCTCGCTCCCACCCTTCATCCTCTGGCCTTCGGCCTTTGAGCGGGCCGGGTTCCCACTCACCCTTCCAGGCCGCTGACGGAGCCGCTGACGGAGCGCGGCTGGCCGGGGGAGCCAGGTAGCAGTAAGCCCCGCAGCGGGAGGCCCCGCAGCCGCTGCGCACCCAGGCGTAGCATGGCGAAGCCCAGGAAACCGCCTGCTCCGAGGCCGGCCTGCAGGCAGCGGCCGCGGGGCTCCGCCCCCGGGCTAGGGGCAGGCCCCTACACAGGCGCGCTCCCTGCCACCAGGCTCCCGCAAAACTGCGGCATCATGGCACCTGCCGGGCGTCCCGGAGCCAAGAAGGTGAGTTTCCCAAAGTCCGTGACTACTCAGTCAGCCCTCCCTGCCGCGGGTCTCCCAGATCCAAAAGTTCAAACCCTACTAGAGCCCCCAGCGGTGCTCTGCGGTGCGGGCAAGGCCCCTGGGCGGCTCTGGGTCTCGGTTAATGGGATCGTGAGGCTAGGGTGACGATATGCCTGGGAGTGAGGATAAGATGACAAACCTGGGTGCCCTGACTCGGGGTCCGCACTGCGCAGAGTACTTTACTCAGTAATCTTATCTTCACAGTTGTCCTATTTTATGGTGGAAGAAACTGAGGCCCCGAGAGTCAAGCGACTAGCTCAGAGAAGGGCAGGGATTTGAGCCTTCGAATCGGAGGCCACACGTTCTCTCCCCGAAGCCGGCCAGCACCCACAGCGTTCGGCGCTCCTGCCCCACTGCTCCGGGTTCCGCTGGATTTTGGGAAGGGCCGCGGTCTGGCCGTCCTAGTGGCCCGCTGTCCCCAGTCCCTGAGGGGACAGTGCCAGACGCGAGGTGGAGAGAAGGATGCGTGGGGACCCCTCTGCGTCGTTCCACCATGCGGCCCCTGTCCCCAGGCTTTTCACCTCAGCCCCACTCCCAGCCAGGATGCCAGCTATTGGCTTTGTTAACCCATTTCTACGCGGTGTGCGTGTGTGCAGTGGGAGGAAGGGGTGACAAAATAAAATTAGAAAGGGCATGAACTTGGACGCGGGGACATGTCCAGGACCCCTGAAGGCAACCCACTTGCACCCCGAAATTCATAAGAGATGGTGGGGAAGAAAGGGGTGATGTGGACATGAAAATGTGCACCGCTGACTTATTTATACTAAAAAGTTACAAACAACCGAGACACCTACAGTAGTGGGCTCTCTAAATAAATTAAGGTTCACCCACTTAATAAGTTGTTAGGCAGCCCATTAAGGAGCAAAGTATGGAAACAGGCAAGTGCTCTGGCAATGTTAATTTACAAAAGGAAATACACACAGACTGACTGCAATGACATGTGAAAGTATATACACACCATAAGGAAGGATAAAATAATGGCAGTAGTTACATAAGATGAGGAATATGGATTTTAAAAACTTAAAAACATTTTAAATATATTTTTCTGATTATAAAAGTAAAGTATGGGCATAGAAGAACATAGGAATAGTAAAAGCATAAAGAAGCAAAAAACAACATGCTAATTTCTTTCTCCAAACTTTCCCCTAATACTATGTTCACTTTTACAGTTCATTTTTAAGGTATTGCAATACGCTTTCTGTGTTCAATTTCTTGCTAGCCTCTACTCCTTCAGCACCAAGTTTATGGTATGCTATTCCATGTTAATGAGTACCTGGGAACTCAAATTAAAATGTTAGAGGGAGGGAGCTTGCCTCACCTCTCAGCTCACAGGTGCATTTTAAAAGTTCATTGAATTGCCACAAAGGACACCTCCAATTGCTTCTTCAATCCAAGAGAGCAGTCTGAGGGGCAATTTTCAGGCAGATTGGATCTCTGGCTGCCTCCTGCCACAGGGCAAAGTTGGTGGACTCCTTTGTGTATGAGCAGAGCTGCCCTGAAGCCAGATCTTAAATCCAGAAGTCCAGACACGGATATCTGCATCAAGGGGGACAACTCTCTCCCAGAGCTCACGATCAGATCCCAGGCGGGTCCACTGTCTAACTAAGGGAGGATGGGATGAAAATATAAACGTAGTGCCAGTTAGTCTCCAGTGTTTTTTGTTTCACCCAGTCCTGCCATTCTCCAGCTGTCTTTATATCATACTGGCAGTCAGTGGAGGTGGTAAAGGAGGGGCTAAATGATGCTGTCAATTCAAATTGTAACTTAGTTATTCTGCTAATGGCTATTTGGAAAACTGGCAAATTTAAAATGTTGGACAAACATCTAGATAGCATAAAAATATCTTACCTTTATTTGCTATCAAGAAGACACAGTCAAAATGTGTGCTACAATTTTCTTGAAAAAACCCTAGCTAATTTTCTGTTAAAGAGTATCATTTTTTTTTATTTTTATTTTTTTTGCCTCAGGACCAAACTTGTAGCATATGTGAGACATGTGACATTTTCAAAACAGGTTTGTCCATCTTCCAACTCTGCATAGTTTATTAAGGGCTGACTCTGTGTTAGGTGGTGTAGGAGGTGGTAGGAGTATGTCACAAGATATGTCTCCTGAGCCTCAGACACCTTATAGCCAAACAGAGGAAACAGGTAAGTAAGCAGGTACTGCAGTGCATGTGATGGATGCAGAAATGGAGTGTGTTTGGACTTAAGCAGGACGCAAAGGAGGAGGTACTCACAAATAAGAGTAGGTCAGGACTTCCGCCAAGATGGAGGCAGAGGTGGAGACGCGGTGCCTTCTCACACAACCAAGTTTAGAGACAACTAAATATTAGCAACAGAAAACATAGCCAGAACACAGAAAATTGAACTTTTCGGAAGTCTGTTAACAACAAATTCTTCAGCCTGACCGGTAAGGGGTGAAACCAGCAGCTGGTAGAGTGGGGTTGCACAGGAAAACTCGGTCAGACGACTCAGGCGCGCTCGGAATCCAGGTGCAGGGTTGGACCTGGTGAGAGACCCAGCGAACGACCTCGGGGAAACAGCGAGGGAGCGGGGCTGCGGGTTGACTGTGGTCGCGCATTTGTGCGCGGATAGACAAGCGAGGGAGTGGGCGATTGGACCAGGACCCAGCAGTCCCGAGGGAAGCGGCAGTGGAGGGCACCACCATTTCCCTGCTCTGACCCCACCTCCACATACAGCGTCATAACCCAGCGACTCTGAGTGGCCCTGCCCTGGTGAACCACCTAAGGCTCTGCTCCTCACCCAGTAGCGTGAAACAGCAGAGGGGGCTGCTATTTCCCAGCTCTGACCACGCCCCCACAAAGAGCATCACAACCCAGAGACCTGGGAGTCCACACCTCTGCTCCTCACACTTAAAGGGCTCGAACAGACCAAAAATGGCTCAAGAAGATCTCAAAGCCCCAGAGCCTATAAATCTAAGTGATGAAGAAATAGCAAAACTCTCAGACCCACAGTTTAAAACACTGGTGATCAGGATCCTCGCAGAACTGGTTGATTATAGCCACAAATTAGAGAAACATATGAAGGTGAAACTAATTGAAATGAATGGAATTGCACAGGAAACCAATAGTGATGAAAAGGAAACTGGGACACAAATCAATGGAGTGGACCAGAAGAAAGCAAATAATGTCCAAACAGAAAAGAGTGAAGAAGCAAGAATTCAAAAAAATGAGGAGAGTCTTAGGAACCTCCAGGACATCTTTAAACACTCCAACATCCGAATTATAGGGGTACCAGAAGGGGGGAAAGGAACAGCCACCAGTGGAAAACTTATTTGAACAAATAATAAAGGAGAATTTCCCCAATCTGGCAAAGGAAATAGACTTCCAGGAAATCCAGGAAGCTCAGAGAATCCCAAAGAAGTTGGACCCAAGAAGAAACGCACCAAGGCACATCATCATTACATTAGCCAAGATGAAAATGAAGGAGAGAATCCTAGAAGCAGCAAGAGCTAAGGGGACAGTCACCTACAAAGAAGTTCCCATCAGACTGTCAGCAGTTTTCTCAAAAGAGACCTTACAGGCAAGAAGGGGCTGGAAAGAGGTATTCCAAGTCATGAAATCTAAAGACCTACAACCAAGATTGGTCTATCCAGCAAAACTTTCATTTAGAATGGAAGGGCAGATAAAGTGCTTCTCATATAAGATCAAATTCAAGGAGTTCATCATCACCAAGCCCTTATTATATGAAATGTTAAAGGGACTTATCTAAGAAAAAGAAGTTAAAAAAACATGAACAGTGAAAGGACAGCAAACTCACAGTTATTAAGAATCACACCTAAAACAAAAGCAAACTAAAAGGACAGCTAGATCAGGAGTAGAAAGATAGAAATGAAGATCTCAAGGAGGGTTAGCAACAGGGGAGTGGGAGGAGGAGAAGCGGGAAGAAGGTACAGAAAATAAGTAGCATAGACAGTAGATAGAAAATAGATGGGGGGGGCAAGAATAGTATGGGAAATATAGAATCTAAAGAACTTGAGACACATGGTCATAAACTAAAGGGCGGTAATGGGGATGGGGAGGTAGGGTGGAGGGGAATGAAGGGGGGGAATAGAACAACTGTAATGGCATAATCAATAAAAAATAAATTAATTAAAAAAAAGAGTAGGTCAGGCAAGGCTTTGCACTGTCAGCAATGGAAGATAAAATAGGGGGCTAGAAGGAATTGGAGATCATTTCAATAATCCAGGGTCAGTGAGGACGGGGGGGGGAGACATATATTGGAAGTTTAAATAGACACACTTGGTTTGGATGTGGGATGTGAGATACTACTAATACCTAAATTGTATACCAATGTTTTTTCTCTCTCAAACTGTTTTATGTATACTATTAAATTTGATTTTTAATGTAGTTAATTGAAGTGTGTTAGATTTTCTGGATGAGATTTTATACAGGCGACTATACCTCTAATTCTCTGTTCTGTATCCCTGTGCAGCAGTCATGTATTACATGCTCTTGGGATGATCTGTTGACCCACTGGCCTTCCCCAAGGTACCCAGATTTGAGCTTCATAAGGGCATGGACCTTGTCCTACTCAAATGTTTGTCTCTCATGCCTAGGACTGTACCTGGCATGTGGGATGGTCTCACTAAAAGTTTAAAGCTAATGTCTTTATTTAGTTTTCAAAAGTATAAAACAGAAAGAGCAAATTGTATTTTAATGAGGGAGCAGAGAGATAGGTGAGGATCGTGGTAAATATTAACATTTCTCCCATGTTCAGCTAAAGTCATTTTCAGATATGAAATATGGGAAAATAACGAGAGTGAGGCGCTCTCTGTCAAACAGTATTCACAGGTAACACAGCAGGACTCTACTCTGCTTCCCTCCACAGGAAAATGGAGATGTGTGGCAGTGTGGCTCCGACAGCCTGGAACTTAGCTTCCAGTGTGGCCCCTTCCAATGCCCCTTTCTGGGCTGCACATGTGACTGATTAGATGGGGCAGCCCCAGGCTTTCCTCCCCCACTCATGCATTGCTCTGTGTCCAGTTGTAGGCAGGGCTGAGAGGCACTGACCTTGCATTGTCACTAAAATGTTGTATCTTCAACTAATGCAGTCAATACAAGAAAGATAGACACCATGGGGGTGCTTGCAGTTTGTCACAGGGTGGTCAGGGAAGGCCTCTCTGAAGAGAAGACACTTGACCATTTGGTGCTTGGGAGCACCAAATGACTAAGTGCCTATGAACATGCAGGAAAACGTAGGGCATAATGATCAAATGTTGCATTCATTAGGATTGTGCTCAGTGATTTACACAAAAAGAGTGGTTTATTTTTCTCACCTAATAAGAATTCTGGCAGTCCACGGTTGCTGCAGCTACTCGAAGCTGTCATTAAGACTCCAGGCTGCTGCCATCACTCCCTTCCACTAGCCGTAGCGCGTGGGTTCCAGTGGCATGGCTGCGAGATGACTGCTGCATCTCCAGGGCTCATGCTGCCATTCCGGGCAGGAAGGAAACACATGTGAAGATGGAAAGGAGTGGGCCTCTGTATCAGGAAAGTAAAACTTCTCTGGAAATCTTCAGTGGACTTCACCTTTGTCTCATCGGTCAGCACTGTGTTAGATGACCATCCCCAGTAGCAAGGGACCCTGAAATTCTTTTTTAAGTTGGTAACATTGTTGCCACCAAACAAAATACATTAGCAAGGAAGAAGAGAAAACATGCAAATTAGTTAGGCAACTAGCGATGTCTGCCACTAATGTCTTGAAAAACCCAAATGACTACTATGGAATCATTCCTTCACTGTGTTTTGACTCAGACTAAATGTTATGAGAAAAAGAGAGCCCAAGCCCCTGGCCAAGATGGAAGTGTAGGTTGAAATACTGTACCTCCTAACAACCAAATTTAAGGACAACAAAGATTTAGAAACAAAAATACAACCAAAACAGAAAATTGAACTGTACAGAAATGTGACCACCATTCATCCAGACTGGTAAGAGGGGTGGAGTTGGCAGCCAGTGGAAAGGGGTCACAGCAGGAAAACGTGGCAGTTGGCACAGCCGGGTGTGCAGGTGGTGCGGGACTTGCAGACCCTGGGTGTAGGAAGGAAACAAGCAGATGCAGTGAGGCACGCAAGGTGGTTGGCTGACTGCAGACACACATTTGCATGCGCCGATAAACTAGGCAAAAACGGGCAGTGAGACAGACTGCGCAACCCAGGGTCAAAGCGATGGGAAATAAAGCCTAAAAACGCCAATTGAAAAAAAAACTTGTGGCCGTTGAGGTGCCAGGAGAGACTCCCAGCCTCACAGGAGCATTTGTTGGAGAGACCCATAGGGTCCTAGAATGTACACAAGCCCACCCACCTGGGAACCAGCACCAGAAGGGCCCAATTTGCTTGTGGGAAGCGGCAGAGGGGACTGAAATCTGAGAGACCATTGTTCCGTCTCTGGCCCCACCCCACCCCTTACAGCATCACAACCCAGCAACTGGGATGCCCCCCCCCATGAACACATAAACTTCTGGCCCTCATACATAACAGGCACGAAAAGACTAAAAATGTCTCAATCAGAAGAACAAATCAAAGCCCCAGAGCCAATACTTTTAAGCAACCAAGAGATAGCCAATCTATCAGATGCACAGTTCAAAACACTGGTGATCAGGATGATCACAGAAGTAGTTGATTTTGTTCACAAATTAGATGAAAAAATGAAGGCTACACTAAGTGAAATGAAGGAAAATGCACAGTGAACCAATAGTGACGGGAAGAAATTTGGGACTCAAATCAATGGAATGGACCAGAAAGAAGAAAAACAACCAAAAAGAAAAGAAACAAGAATTCCAAAAAATGAGGAGAGGCTTAGGAACCTCCAGGACATCTTTAAACATTATAGGGGTACCAGAAGGGGAAGAGGAAGAGCAACAAATGAAAAATTTATTTGAACAACTAATAAAGGAGAACTTCCCCAATCTGGCAAAGGAAATAGACTTCCAGGAAATCCAGGAAGCTCAGAGAGTCCCAAAGAAGTTGACTCAAGAAGAAACACACCAAGGCACATCAGAATTACATTAGCCAAGATTAAAATGAAGGAGAGAATTCTAGAAGCAGCAAGAGATAAGGGGACAGTCACCTACAAAGAGTTCCCATCAGACTGTCAGCTGATTTCTTCAAAGAGAACTTATAGTTTCTTGACTACAAGAAGGGGCTGGAAAGAAGTATTCCAAGTCATGAAATCCAAAGACCTACATCCAAGATTGCTTTGTCCAGCAAAGCTTTCATTTAGAATGGAAGGGCAGATAAAGTGCTTCTCAGATAAGGTCAAGTTCAAGGAGTTCACCATCACAAAGTCCTTATTATATGAAATGTTAAAGGGACTTATCTAAGAAAAAGAAGATAAAAAATATGAACAGTGAAAGGACAGCAAACTGACAGTTACTAACAACCACACCTAAAACAAAAGCAAACTAAGTAGACAGCTAGATCAGGAGTGGAGCCACAGAAATGGAGATCACATGGAGGGTTAGCAACAGGGGAGTGAGAGGAGGAGAAGGTACAGAGAATAAGTAGATGGTGGGGAGAAAATAGACAGGAGGAGGGCAAGAGTAGTGTGGGAAATGTAGAAGCTAAAGAACTTAAGACACATGGACATGAACTAAAGGAGGGGATGTGGGTGGGAGAGGGTGTGCAGGGTGGAGGGGAATGAAGGGAGGAAATGGGACAACTGTAATGGCATAATCAATAAAATATATTTTTAAAATGTTATGAGAAAAAAATGTTCATAGCACTCTGACAAAAACAAGTCCCTGGATTGTCCAAGAAATAACAGTATACTCAGTCTTTCTAAAATACTGACATACCAGTGATTGTAATGGAGCGGGAGCTCTAAGAAAAACATACTACTTTTCCAAAAATTGGAAACTGCTTTTGGGAAAAAAAGAGGGGCCTTAAGATGATTTTTCTTTCTTTTCTTCAGGGTATTTTAGAGCGTCTGGATAGTGGGGAGGTTGTGGTTGGAGATGGCAGCTTTCTCATAACTCTGGAGAAGAGGGGCTATGTGAAGGCCGGGCTCTGGACCCCAGAGGCTGTGGTGGAGCATCCAAATGCAGGTCAGTGCCGGCATCCCCAAGACTGCTCATCTGGGTGGCAGTTTTAGTGCACCTGACTGAGAGAAGATGAAAAAATAATAGTGCACGTTTCCTAAGGATTGTTTCACTTGTCAAAATTGCCAAGAGGTGGAGACAGTGACAGTACGTGGGCTGAACAAATAGCAGAAAATGATTCTCTTTCTCCTCCACCCACTGTGCACACACATTTGCATTGTCATATAGAGAGAGTACTAAAATACACATCTTAGTATTTGTTTTTCATGAATATTTACCCTATGGATATTCAAGGGTTTCCTTAGCATAGTAACACTATTATTGCTTCAGATTCTCCCTTCTAGCTAATCTGAATATTGTAACAGTGATTTGGGTAAGGATGATTCATGATATCTACCAGCTAACAAAGTATAGACAATAGATGGCCAGGTTCTGTTGCCAAAGTGGGAGGGGCAAAGAGAGAAATGCAGTTTTCCTCGTTCTACTCTGAGGGCTCTCCAGTGCCAACTACTCTGCAGGCCGGCCAGATGCCTCGTGATGTGAGAAACTGAATAAGCCCTCCTAGACCCAGAAACCAAGAGCAATTGGCCAACCAACCTTTAACCTCTGCATCAGACTTCACCAAGCTCTGAGGCCCATCAGTTAGATAATATGAGACTACTCCTAAACAGCCCTGATTTGGTAAAGACCCTGCCATGTCCTGTCCTTGAATTTTACTAACTTTAATTTGCAAGTTTTTAAATAAGCACTAGGTTTGAAATTGTGTATGACTGAAAGAATTGTGTGTGGATGAGCTGGTGCTGCTGAAAATAGTAGCTTCTGTCATTTTTTATATTTAAACTTCAATTAAAAAAACTACTCTGTAGTTCGTCAGCTTCACATAGAATTCCTGAGAGCGGGATCCAATGTCATGCAGACTTTCACCTTTTCTGCCAGTGAAGAAAACATGGATAGCAAGGTAAAACAGTAATGCCAGTTGGTTGGGGTATAGGGTGGAGGGTAGGTGGGTAGGGATCATGTAACATAATAAAAATAACCTCTCAGTAGAAAGCTATGGAATTGACCCGATGTGTTACTACCCTTTATTAAAAGCTCCACATAAAATATCTAAATAATTAATTATTATATAGATATATATTCACTAAACTAATGAGTTTGTGGTCTCTTTAGGGGAAGGGAGGGTATAGGACTGGGAAACAATAGGCCTTTGGAAGGGCATGGCCATTTTTCTGTGCTATTTTTTAATAGAGAAAGAACAGTTTATAGATGTTCTTTTTACCTTCTCATTTCACATTCGTCTTTTCTGACTTGTCCATCTGGAGAAAGGATGGTCCTAGGTCACACAGCATTGGCCTAGGAATGAGGACAGTTGGGTCAGATGCCCAACTTTGCCACCCGTTGGCTGTGTGACTTTGTGCAAGGAGCACTGGTTTTCTCTTCAAAATGGAAATAACTTCTGCTTAACTGCCAAGGGTTGTTGAGAAAGGTGAAGGATGTGCAAGTATTGTGATATATTCTGCAAAAGTAAACTTTTAGCACTTATAAATGTTAATGTCCAACTAACCAACAATTATTGAGTATCTGTTATAATGCATTCTCTAGTACTAGATACAAAGATCATACAAAAGCATAGAAACTATTCTGAAGTGGCTCAAGGTCAAGCGTGGGAGGTAAACAAATATGCTAAAATCCAATGTGTTAAGTACAATAATGGAAACACAAACACATTGGTAGTAGAAGAGATGGTACCCAACTCTGCTGGTCTTCTTGAATTACAGTTAAAACCAGCGACTTCTACTTGTTATACTTGCTCATTTCCTCCTTTGTTATTGATTATATTTTACCTTTAAAATGCCAAGCTCACCATCTTAATTCTTGCTCTCTAATCTCAGTGGGAAGATGTAAATGCTGTTGCCTGTGACCTTGCCAGAGAAGTGGCTGACAAAGGCGATGCCTTGGTGGCAGGGGGGATCTGCCAGACATCAATATATAAACAGCACAAGGATGAAGCAAGAGTTAAAAAACTTTTTCAACTACAGCTTAAGGTTTTTGCCAAGAAAAATGTGGACTTCTTGATTGCAGAGGTAAGCCTAGTGTTATACTGATAGTGTTAAACCTAGTGACAAGCATAAATGAATACTCCTCAACCATCCTGAGGGTGTTGGGTTGCCCTATGACCTCATTTACACCATGAAGATGGCCAAAGGTTTATTTAAATGCACTACAGTCAACATGCTCTCACTTGCATGCTAGGTTCTCTGTGAAGCCAAAGAACAGACCCAGGAGAGGCCCAACTGTGGACTTTGGTTTTCTAAGGTCAGAGTAGTTATAGCAGATGACTCCCGGGGGTATACAATATGGGGTCAAGAGAGAGGACAGTGATTCAGAAAGTGTCCTCCCACAAGGGAGGGGCAGGACTAGAAGGAGCCGTGCATATGGGCTGGAGGCCATGAGGGAGCAGAGCCTTGGGGACAAGTGGCTGGCTGCTCAGGCTCCTCCAGGCCCCGCCAGTAATCATCAATACCAAGTAGTTCCCTTGCCTTCCTCCACTCTTGCTCACTCTTGCCTCTCTGTTTGCACTCAAATGATAACATATGAGCAATATTTTAAAGAAAGAAACAGTAAGAATTGATCATTGACCAAACATGAAGGCCCAAAACATTCCTTTCCTCTGACTCCCAAAATTAAAAGCCCTCATTCACCATTTCCCTTTACAATTGCTAGAGTCAAGTCCTCAGGTCTTCACCTCAACAAGGACAATAGCCTACCAACTGGTAGGCTATTTTCCCAATCACTCCTTTGAACCTGTTGAAAACCTTGCTTCTCTGGCCTTCCGGAGTCTCAGGGCCACCTACAGCTGACCCAGCTGGGAACGGTCCTCAGCAGAGCAGAGCACAGGCTCCACCCCGCACATCCCCCAGGAGATGGGAGCGCCAGTTTGCTTTCTAAGAACCTCTCTTTCGACTCCCCGTGTCGTTCCTCGCACACTGCTTCTGCGGAATCTGTTTCTAGGTCCAGATGGAAGAAGAGGAAGATTTCTGCTAGCTTTTCTTCACGTAAGATCGGCTTTTCAATTGTGGGTCTTCAGGGGTTTCCTGAGAAGCACCCCTGCAGACGTCATAAATTTACCAGACCAGGTGCCCTGTCTGCCACATGCAAAGAAACTCAGGAGCTATCCTTCCCCAGTCTGTGCTTCAAAGTTCTCATCTGGGAAAATAATATTTCCATTCCTACTTTATAGAACACTTATCAGTATCTAAATAGAAGTGAATATAAAAGCACTTGGAAGTAGTATAAAGCATAACAAACTATTCATCACCTCAGTTCCATAAAAGATGAGTCCTAAATTTACTAACTGTTGCTCCTTCAAAATTATGATTTTAAATACTCAATTATTCAAAAAAACCTTCATGTTTTTTAGATGATATATGAATGAAAATCTATATACAGTGTGGCAAAAGTAGGTTTACAGTTGTAAGTATGCGAAACAAAGAGTTTATTATTATATTATTATTTATTAACTATTGCATTATTTTCCACATGACCAATGGTAAGCCTATTTCCCCCACCCTCTATTGCTAAAGGAATTAAAATACATACTCAGAAAGGTATCCTTTAGTCAGTCTGATTGATACACATGCCCTCAAGTTTTATTACATATTATATACTTAGTTATTTTTATAACTGTTTTGCCACATTTGCATTCTACCACTCAAAATCTGCTTCATATTTGAACCTATAGAAAAAAGTAAAATTTCTCTTAGTATTTTGAGCATGCTGAAGAAGCTGTGTGGGCTGTGGAAGTCTTAAAAGGAGCTGGTAAACCTGTGGCAGCTACTATGTGCATAGGCCCAGAGGGAGACAAGCATGATATCACACCTGGAGAATGTGCTGTTAAGCTGGTGAAAGCAGGTAATTTGGACTCCTAGTATGATGCACAGCTCAGTTGTTAATTATGAAATTTAGCAATGCTTGCTATTGTCAGAGCAGTAATGAAAGAATGAACCGGAATTCACTTCCTCATCTATAAAATTAGGGAGGTAGAGGGGGCCAGCTGACCTCTGAGACACCTTCTAACTATTAACAAATAAAATAAACAAGAAAAAAATGTAAAAGTTCTTCATATCTTTGCACAGGGGCTTCAATTGTTGGTGTGAACTGCCGGTTTGGGCCCAAGAGCAGCTTGGAGACTGTGAAGCTCATGAAGAACGGCCTCCAGGCTGCAGGGTTGAGAGCACACCTGATGGTACAGCCCCTGGGGTTCCACACCCCCGACTGTGGCAAAGGAGGGTTTGTGGACCTCCCAGAATACCCCTTTGGTGAGCTCAGGCACGGATTAGACGTCCTTGTTATTTCTGAATGTGACAGAATAGAAAGAGCTATAATGAACAACTATGGTACAGTCATACAATTCGGGACTGCATTACCTGTTAACCAAAAATGAGCCATCTGAAGAATGCACAATCTGAAATTTACAGTTTTTTAATGGAAGAAAAAAAGCTTATCAGAGCATGTATCATCTGAAAAGGTAGATGGTAACAGAAATGCCATAACTGGTGTGTTACAGGACTGGAGCCCAGAGTTGTGACCAGGTGGGATATTCACAAATACGCCAGAGAGGCCTACAACCTGGGGGTCAGGTACATAGGTGGGTGCTGTGGATTCGAGCCCTACCACATCAGGGCAATTGCAGAGGAGCTAGCCCCAGAAAGGGGCTTTTTGCCACCGGCCTCAGAAAAGCATGGCAGCTGGGGAAGTGGATTGGACATGCACACCAAACCGTGGATTAGAGCCAGGTAGGAATTTTTAAATTAACAACACTATTTTTCTCAAATCTCATTTTATTCATTAGTATAAATACTATGCATGTGTGTAATAATTAAAAAATTCTGAAAGTATAGAATTGTATAAAATGAAAAGTAAAAATTGCTCCCCTTTTGACACCATTCCCAGGGAAAACAAACTCAAATAAGTGAGAAGCAACTTATTTTAATTATTACTATCTAGGGAATCTGAATGTGCAGTAGCCACCAAAGATAAAACATTATTCTCTAGAGTAGAGTAAGCCATTCTTTGAACCTTGAACTCCCAAACATTGATATTTGCAGACAACTGTGATCACAAAGAAACCTGTGTGTACCCTGACTTCTGACATTTTTATCGTTCCAACATATTGATTTGTTTATTGTTTCATAAGTATAAAGGGGGAAACCGTAAAAATATATGTAACACAAAGGTCTGCAACGAGGAAACTTTTTACTTTTCTTTCTTTGTCTAAAAACAAGGAACAAATATTGACAAAGCTATTTGTATTCTGTTTTTTGTTATTTTTTTGAAGAATTATGCTTTGTTTCATTGCATTAAAATATCTTCATATACTTGTCATTATATTACATTAAAGTATTATAAATATGTTACATTAAAATATTGTAAATATCCTAAAATAGAATAAAAAGAACCCTGCTAGAAATTTCAGAATGAATTCAAGTCTATAAAACTCAAACCCATTGCTTTTTTCTGACAGGTGATATGAAACCTAATGATTATTACTAAGGATAGAATTTGAAAAAAACCCCTGGCATGAATGAATACAGTTATTCTGCCTGTGTGTTGAAACTGAAATGAGATACAAACCCTTAATTAATTGTGTATTTTTAAAACACAGGGCTAGAAGAGAGTATTGGGAGAACCTGCTGCCGGCTTCAGGCAGACCTTTCTGTCCTTCGCTGTCAAAGCCAGACGTCTAAGGAACAATGGAACAGAAAGAAATACCCCCAAGGCCTTCTGGACCCCTCCCTCGCCTTTGCCCTGAGCCCACCCTGCTGTTTCCAGCCACTAACGTTGAACTGCTACTGTGGTTAAGCACCTTCCCTGCTGGATGCTGCAGGGGATGCAACCATGATGAGAAAGGCTTCTTGTTCTCAGTGTGTGCTGCCCAGTAATACTGCACTACGTTGTTTTTGCGGTGGCCAAGAATGGCAAACTTGTCTTGGGACAAATTAAAGATGAAAAAATAACCGGAAGTCACTGAGCACCAAGCTAGGGAGGAATGCAGGTAACTAAGCCAGGTATTTGAGGGAGACGGAGTGGCATTCTGAACTAACACACTGAGCTCGCTTCCCTTAATGATTTGTATAATGACTCCAAAGGCACTTCCCAAAGAAAGAAGCAAACACCATTTTTGAGCAATGGAAAGATTTTAAAATAAGTGTATAACCTTCCAAAGTAATTACTTTCAGAGATGATTTTACTTAAAGGTGTTAGGCGCTAGAACTTTTAATGTCTTTATAGTCACAAATAACTAGATTTAGGGACAAAGGTAATGAAATAACATCTTACATTTTTCCTTATAGCATTTACTGTTGTGCTAGGCATAATAATAGATGCTCAATGAAATAGTTATGGTTTAAAATAAGTAAAAACAAACAGTGTTAGAAGACCTTTTTAAAGTCAATGTTCAAATCTATCTTGGTCTAGTATTTTCTTGATTTATCTTTTTGTTACGTTCTATGTACTGATTTCTCTCTGTATTTCAAAATAACGTAGCAATTTGTGTCAGTTAATAAAAGTAAAAATAATTTACCTTTTATAGTGTTTGACTGTTTAAAATTTTATGGATATTCTTTGAAATAATAATAACAAACACTTATTACTTATGTTCCAGGCTCTTGCTTTTCTTTCTCTCTTCCCCTGTGAGAGTGGATGCTCACGCAATAACAGCTTGCTTAGTAGATAAAGATTTTGTGAAAGGGCAAAGGGCAAAAGCTAAGAGGCCACATTGGGGGGGGTGCCCTCCTTCATCCTAAACCCCTTCCTTGTGTCTGCAGTGGTACAGACTAAAACCTTTGTCCAGTGCCATACCATATAGTTCAGAAGTGGTGCAACAAGTGAACATGGATTACATATGGTAGGTGGTAAGGAAATGTTTTCAAATCTAGGTCCCTTGGCTCACAAAAAATGGAAATTATTGGAAGTCCATGTTAGCGAAGAGCAATTCACTTCGATTTTTAGAAAGAGTCAAGTCATTCATCAGCTTTTCAGATTGACAATTGTGATATATAACAAAAAATAATTAAGATATATTCTCTAGAATTTGTTAGTCATAAGAGTGACATGAATTGAAAGAGGTAAATAAGGAAATTAATAAGGAAAAATGAATTTGGAGGAGACGTTCAGACTGAGAGTAACAAGAGAAGACGGGACCTGACCTGGAGATCAGCCTGGGCAATCATGCAGTGTGCAGCTGCGGGAACTGTTCTAGGAGAGGATTTAACAGCTTTATTGTGTGCTGCTTTGCTTTGCTGGCTTGTTGTCTGAGCATTATTGATTGGAAAAGTCATCCTAGACCTGTTAAACACGCTGGTTTCATTTTGGGTATAGTGAGTGCAGTGCCCAGAATAGAATGTTGATGAGATGAAAATTGATAAAAACTTCCAAGAGTTGAGCAGGTGTCCCATAAAGGAAAGTCTTCAAGAGAAATATTTCCTATGGTAAAAGGCCCCACAATTATATAGTGATTGGATCAAACTTCAGATAATAATAAAAACATATTGGGGAAATGTATTTCAAACCATATAGTTCTAACTCCAAGTTTTTTTAATGCATACTAAAGTGTTAAATTCTTATTTATGATTTGCTTTAAATATATTAGTCTATTAAAATGAGGGTTATTTTTAAAGAAAAAATTTCCACAGGCTTGGATTTGGTTGGAAGAAATTAAGAAAAAGGTAATTGTTTATAAAAAGTGAAGAATACTCAATGAAACTAAGAACTGGTCTGGACTAGCTCTTTCCAGTTCCACAGCAGACACTTACTGTGCTAGGGAGTTATCAAGAAGAGTAAATGTCTCTCTGATAACCCCTGCCATGGCCTGCGTAGAACCAGCAGTGCCGACTAGTAAATAGCTGGCACAGAAACAATGTAAGGGACCAAGAGATGTGCTGAAACTGAGGTGTGAAGTTCAGCTGGAACAATAGTTTCTGCTTTGGGAGGATCACAGCCATGATTTGATACCTTGACCCAAAGCCATTAGCAAAGTTAAGCAACTCGTTCTGGCTGTACAATCAGCTGATTTGAAGATAAGCACATATTTTGTTCAATCGATAATGAACATTCTGAAAAGAGCTTCAGAAGGGTGCAGTTTTGCCCATCAGAGTTATTTTATTGAAGTCTTGAGCCAAGTAGACGGGGCATGCTGACCTAGGCGTTGCTGGCACTCTGGCAGTCACATTTCATTTCACTGAAAATAGTGAAAATGGAGAAGCCTCTTTCCAGTCAATGACTGCACGCCTTGAGGGCTCTGCATGCTCATACCAATTATATTCACTCACTCATTCATTTGTTCACTCAATCACTCATCCATTCATTATTCAAATAGCATTTATTTAGTGATTGACCTATGATAGTCCCTGTACCCTCCTATGTGCTTCCACAGTACCCCAGATTTATCATGAATACTATGTAGTTTTAATACTCCTTTGATCATTCTTATTTACTTACATGCCCCTGGCGAGAGGGGGCAGAGAAAATATCTTAATTGTTGTATTCCCTGCACCAACTCAAAAAAGGTGTTTTTGGAGAGGATGTGGAGAAAAGGGAACCCTCATAAACTGTTGGTGGGAATGTACATTGGGGCAGCCACTATGGAGGTCCCCCAAATATTAAGGATAGAACTACCACATGATCTAGCTATACACACTTCTGGATACATGCACCTCTGCGTTCACTGCAATATTATTCATAATAGACAGAATATGGAAACAACCAAATGTCCATAGATGAATGGATTTAGAAAATGTGAGATACATATGGAAAACGATTTAGTGAATAATTTGGAAATTCACAGAAACTCTAGGAGTGCCAGAGTCAGGCTGATATCAATGAACAGCCCTCCAATCAGCTCACGTGTGAACCTACTGTTGGCAGTAGGCTTGAGGACCCGCACCCATGCCTTGGCCATAATTTATGACAGACCAGGGATTCCTGCTTCATCACACTGCTTACCTCTCAGTTGGATTCTCCAGTTCATGTTTCTGATTAATGAGGCCTAAGTCCCAGGCCCACTACTTCCTGTCAGGAAAGTGAATTTTGGGGCTTCTACCTTGGGAGGGCAGGACTCCTGAAACAGGAGCTTACACCAAAACACAGAAAAGTACTCAAAGGCTGGTAGGCAGCCAGATGACATGGTCACATTAACAAATAGAAATCAAATAATCAATTGACTACAATAACCCCTATGATGCTATCACATTAGAATTTGTGTGTGAAATATATTTATTACATAATTAGGGTCATAAGCTGAGATTCCAAGTTAGAGATAATAACTGAAATAAAAACTAAAGAGAGAGAAAAGGATTTACTTAAGCTTTCCAGAATCTTTAATGACCATGAAGATCTGATTTAAAATGGAGCATTCATTTACACTGAACTCTTAGAACTGCTTGATTTATTTTCCCACATTTTCTTCCAAATGGAATACTAAAATAGCAATATAGCATTTTAGAGCCCTAGAAAATTATCTCTTCTGGTTCTACTCTATTTTTTGTAGAGGAAAGGAAACTGAGGCCCAGAAGATTCAGTGATTTACCCAAGGGGTCACTGTTGAAAAGAAATCACGTTGAAAGGCCCAAAAGTTTCATTGTTTTTTCAAGGCCCTTTTCAGAGCCTCCCACAATACAGTTGGGAAGCAGGGCATTTGGATCAAAAGGGCGCAAGTCTGGGCTCCCTTCAACGTCCCACGAGGAAGCCTACTTAGGCTTGCTGTGTTCTTCTGGGAGATTTATTTATTTATTCCTGCCTCCTCCCCAGTATGTAGTATTCTGAAGCCTTGGACATAAAGAATGAGATTAAATAAAACTAATTTCCACAGAGGCCATGATGTACAAAATACTGCCCAAGCCCCCCACCCCCCTACTCCCCGCCGGTAAATTATGCAATTGAGACCGATTTCCCTACAAATCCTCTCCCTTTGTTGTGGCATTTCAGCATCCATTTGACAAATATTTACTGGAGGCCTACTTTGTGTCAGGTGCCAATCTAGGCAGCTGCCAGCATTACTAACATCGGTGCTTTAGGATTAATTTGTAGAGCATGGAAGCTTGCTCCATCTAATAAAAGTCTCTTTAAAATGTGGCAGAAAAACTATCACTGGTTGTCACCTTAAAATAGGAAGTAGTTATTAGAGTAAATAAATAGCCCTTGGAAAACATGTTCTGATTCTTTTTTTAAAAGTACCTTAAGAAACAGAATAGAACATTTTAAAGAGGATATAATGGAGAAAACACATTTATTAATTAATTACCTAATTAATGTAACTAATGTATTGGTATGGGCATCACTTCTGAATGATGGGAGAGGAGGACTAAGAGACGAGAGCAGCAAGAGTCTGGGTCATCTACAGCACAAGTTAAAACTTTGTCACTTGGTCCTTTGTTTATACAGTAACAAGTGCCACAGGTCAAACTGCATTTTATGTGGATGTAACCAAATGTTAGGGATTGGAGTAGAATAGTAAACAAAAGGAAATAGGTAAAGAGTTGGTGACCCATGTTTAAGTTCAATGGCTCCAAATAAAAATATCTGATCTTGACAAGTCACTAACTTACTCTAAGCTCCATCAGCTTGAAAACACACACACACACACACACACACACACACACACACACATGCACACACACACACAAAGAGTGAGGGAAAAGGACAAACCATGAAAGGGGAAAAGATATTTGCAAATCTTGTATGTGATTAGGATTAATATCCAGAACATATAAAGAACTCCTACAACTCAACAAGAACAAAAAGCAAACAACCTGATTTAAAAATTATCAAAGGACTTGAATAGATATTTCTCCAAAGAAGATATGCCAATTGCCAAACAGCATATGAAAAGATGTTCAGCATCACTAATCACTAAGGAAATGCAAATCAAGATCACAATGAAATACCAGCTAACACCAATTAGAAGGAGCCAGTGTTGGTGTGGACATGGTGAAATTGGAACCCTCATGCACTTTTTATGGGAATGTAAAATAGTATAGCCACTATGGAAAACAGTATGGTGGTTCTATATAAAATTAAAATAGAATTATCATAGGATTCCACTCTTTATGAGTATACCCAAAAGAATTGAAAGCAGGAACTCAAACAGATATTTCTAAATCCATGTTTATAGAAGAATTTTTTTAAGATTTTGTTTTTAATTTTTAGAGAGAAGGGAAGGGAGAGAGAGAAACAAACCCAGGCATTGCCTTGACTGGGAATCAAACCGATGACCTTTTGCTTTGCACGATGACACCCAACCGACTGAGCCACACCAGTCAGGGCTATAGCAGCATTATTCATAGCAGCTAAAAGTAGAAGCAACCCAAGTGTAAATCAATGGATGGATGGCTAAACAAAAAAAAAAGTGATATATACGTACACTGGAACATATTCAGCCTATAGAAGGAACGACATTTTGACACATTTGATAGATATTATGGTAAGTAAAATGATCCAGTCATATAAGAACAAATACTGTATGGTTCCAGTTACACTGGGTACCCAGAGT